TTCAAACAAATACAATACCAAAGCATTTCAAGTTAACTTTTCAATAACAAGTTTACAGTCCGGAACTCTTTTAGGGCAGCAATCCGCCTACACCCTTTGCCATTTCACAGGTTTAGGACAGCTCTAGGCTTGACCTCTCTTCCTGACCTTGTGTGATATGAAGCTGAGTATGCTTCTGTGTCAGTCAACAGTTCTTGTGGTGTTGCAGGTAAGTATGGTGTATGTTGTGTTGTGTCTGTGTTTAGTCCATCCAGTTCTCTTTCAGGGGAACAGTTCATCTTTTGTGTTCAGTAGGTGACGACGATTGCGGCAGTACACCGCTCCTTCTGCGGTGCGAACGTGATATGAACATTCAGTGTCAGCTGGTTGGATGACGACTGCTGGCTTCCAGTAGCCATGCTCCTGGATTCTAACTGACTCTCCGTCGTTCAGTGGTGGCAGTGGTCTAGCTGACCTGTCGTTGTATCGCTTTTGGTGTTGTTGTCTGTGCACGTTTTGCATGCATTTCCTCAGGTTGCAGCTCAGGTTGCAGCTGCTGGTTGGTGCTGGGAAGGATTGAGCGAAGTCTGCGGCTCATCAACAGCTGGGCTGGGGATTTGAAGTTGTCAACTGGAGTGTTGCGGTATTGAAGGAGACTGAGGTAGGGGTCGCTCTTGTCTGCTTTTGCTTTGTCCATGAGTGAATTAGCAATCTGCACAGATTTTTCAGCAAGGCCATTACTTTGAGGATAATGTGGGCTTGTGGTGACATGTGTGAACTCCCATGCTTTTGTGAAGGATTCAAACTCATTTGATGCCATGCCTGGCAAAGGCTGCTTTCAGCTTGTGTATCACAGCTGCAGATGTGGTACTGTGAAGCTTGTCGAGTTCAAAGTATCTGCTGTAGTAGTCCACTGTTATAATGTAGTCCTCGCTGTTCCAGGTGATCAGATCGGTTGCCACGACCTGCCAGGGTTGGTCTGGGATACGGTGAGGTAACATTGGCTCTTTGGTGTTTGAGGGGCGTCGTTCAAGACAGGTGGGGCATTTACCAACCATGTCCTCTATTTGTTTGCACATTCCGGGCCAAAACAAAATGTCCCGTGCTCTCTGTTTGCACTTTTCCATGCCCATGTGTCCAGCATGGATCTTTGTCAAAATCTCTTCTCTGAGACTGGTAGGAATGATGATTTTCTCTCCTTTGAAAATGATTCCGTTGATCTGTGATAGTTCGTCACGATGGTTCCAGAACTCTGAGACGCTCTGAGGGCATTTTCTCCTCTCCTCAGGCCATCCTGACTGTATGACTTTCCTCAGTTGTGTGAGTTGTGTGTCTTTTTCTGTTTCTGCTTCAGTTTTGTGTCACTAACTGGTAAGTTGCTGTACACAGTGTGCACCTGCATATCAATGCCTTCACTAAGGCTGCTGTCCTTGTAGGTAATAAACTTCTGCGACAGGGATGTCTTTGCCTCAACGGTGAGTGATTGTGAAATCGTATTTTGTAGTTGAAGGATCATTCTCTGTAGCCTTGGCGGGGCTGCGGCTAACAGTTTCCTCATGATTGACTCGAGGGGCTTGTGGTCTGATTCCACAATGACTTGTCATCCATAGACATACTGATGGAAACGCTTACATCCGAACAGAATGGCATACAGCTCCTTTTTGATTTGAGCGTAGTTGATTTCACAGTCTGTGAGAGATTTGGAAACGTAGCCGATGGGTTTTCCTTCTGCAGTAGCACTCCACCTAGTCCATACTTCGACACGTCCACCTGGAGTCTAAGCTCTTTGTTGGGGTCGTAGTAGGCAAGGATTGGTCCTGGTTCTCTCGTGATCAAGTCTTTCACTTTCTGGAAAGCGATGAGTTGCTTGTCCCAGAGGAACTCACTGGACTGCTTTAGCAGCTGACACAGGGGTGCATTAGCATTGGAGAGGCTGGGTGCGAACTTGGCTAAGTAGCTGACCATGCCAAGCACTGGCTCCATTTCCTTTATAGCTGAGCTCTTCTGCGGATCTGGCTTGATTCCATTCGCTGTGAGAAGATGTCCGAAGTAGCTGACCTCTGTAGCGCCGACTGTGCTCTTCTCAGGGTTGAGCCGGACTCCTCTCTCGCGGGACCTTTGCAGCATCGCGCTGAGGTTTCTGTCGTGTTCCTCTTTGGTTGGACCATAGACAAGGATGTCGTCCACAATTGCCACAACTCCGTTGAGGCCTTCGTACACCTCGTCGATCTTTCGCTGAAACTCGTCTTGGGCTGAGATAATCCCAAAAGGCAGGCGACGAAACCTGTAGTGTCCAAACGGTGTGTTGAACGTTGTGAGCTTAGATGACTCTTCTGTGAGCTTGATAGCCCAGTAGCCTGATCTGGCGTCCATGACGCTGAAGTAGCGTGCACCCGCTAGCTTGTGTGTGATGCCATCTAGCGTCGGTAAGGGGTAATGGGGGCGTTTGATAGCCTTGTTCAAGTCTCTTGGGTCGAGACATACTCTGAGCTTGCCTGTGCGTGGTTTCTCCACCACCTCTAACGCGTTGACCCAATCCGTCGGTTCTGTAACCTTGGTGACGATGTCAGATTGCTCCATGCTCTCCAACTCTTTCTTCAGACGGGCGTGGAGAGTAAGGGGAATCTTTCTCAGTGGGTAGACCACAGGGGTTGCGTCTGGGTCAAGGTGAATGGTACATTCTCCTGGGAATAGTCCTATTCCTGTAAAAACATCAGCAAACTCCTCCATGACATTCTCTATCTCTACTGGTGCTGTCACTGATAAAACTAGCTTGATGAGGTTGTTGGGTTCTATTTTTCTCATAATTGGATCTGTATGTGATGAATAGCTTAGAAGGAATGCATTAATGAGGAGCATAGGTTTGAACTGTACTGATATACATTGTTTCACATAACAGGCTGTGATTCATGTGAGGAACGTTAGGGGCTAGGATGAGATAAGACTTGTATTCCTCACAGATACGAACACTGCCTCTTTGTTGTCTGTGAACCGTCCTTGAACGTAGTACAGTGGAATGGTGTCTTTTGGGTGCTGACTCCACAGGTTGTTATGATAAACTTATGCCTGGCAACAGTGTGCAACAAATGGAGTGCCGAGGGGTGAGACTAACCCGTGCACCAACGGATTGGCTGAGTAAAGTCTAAACCACACTCAGTCCTTTACTCTGATTGGCCAACAGAAGAGGTGGGAACTCTCTGTCAGAGTATTTGAGAAAGAACCTGTAAACAATAGTTTAGTTCTCTGAGTGCCCTGCGTGGTATTTCAGTGGACCCGTATATACAAACCTTCATACTTATCATACATACATTTTGCATATAATAAATTAAGCTTGGATTGAAGATCTCTTGATTCTTATTCCAATATCAGATTTGAATTACGCAATTTCTAACAAGGTCCATGTCTAAACATGCTTTAAGACCTAGCACTGCAGGTGCTTGAGTGTCAACAATGTAAAAGTCCAACATCATGTCACTTTCCTTGTATTTGCTCGCACTCAGATGTCAAGCTTCGGTACTTATTCAGAGGAATAATGTTTACTTGTGCATCAGTGTCTAGTTTGAACTTTAGCTCTGTGCCTTGTGTTCCTATCTCAATGTCAGCAAAGGCTTGCTCTGTCTCTGATATCTGACTTTTCTGTGTCACTGAATCAATAAACAGTTCATCAGCATTTGACTCTTTGATTGACATTTCATCTTCACTCACTGTATGTACTGTTTTTCCACGGTAAGCTCTGCACACTTTTGCAAAGTGATTCCATTTTCCACATTTAGTACACTGTTTGCCTTTAGCTGGGCAATTTCCCTGTTCGTCATGCACGTTGTATCCACAATATCCACGTTTTGGGGCATTTGGAGTCTGTGTCGCTCTGTTTTGGAGTTCTGTCTCTCTCCGTTCTGCAACATGCTCTCTGGGCACCGGAGTTGTGATTGGATGTCTGCCTGACTGCGTGCACTGCTTGTTCACGTGATGCTGCCGCCCTAAATGGTTTTCATCTGAACTTGTGCTAGCTCGTGAAATCTGGCTATATCGATAGCTTCGTCCAGCGTTAGCTCAGACCCAACATTCAAAAGTTTCTCTCTCACTCGCGGTGAGTGTATTCCAAATACAATACGGTCCCTGACCATCGCATCCTTGTTTGCATAATCACAGTCTTTCACAAGCAGACGCAGCTCAGTGACAAACTGTTCAAACGATTCGCTAGCTTCCCTGTACTTTCTCATAGAATTTGTACCTAGCGAAAATTGTATTGGTCTTTGGCACAACATATGCTTCAAAATGATCGTAGTATGTTTTCTGTACCTTTGATTCAGCCTCGGCAATTGTCCATGTGATGTAAATGTCTCGATCCAGAGGAGCAGGTAGCTGCACTTTTCCCTCTTTCCTTCAGAGGACCCGTGAACATTAGCTCCACATGCTGTTTGAACTTACGCCATGCATCGGGTAGATTTGTAGAACCCCAATCCATTCGAGGTGAAGGAACTCCAGAAAAATCCATATTTTTAGTCCTTTTACTTGTTTTGTATGCTTTGTACAAAATAATCAAATGCAGCACCTACTTTGCATAATTGGCCATGTGCATGTATATGTGATGGACGCTGTAGGAGAGAGGAATAACGTTGTGGGAGAGACAAAAAGTGAGTAAAAAACACAATGTAAACCAGGGCGGGATCAGCCAGCGGCGGCTTCCCGCATGCGCGATTCATTTGCAGTCTGGACGCATAGGGGTGAACATCTCCTGCTCTGACTGCAGCTGGGAGGGACTGCTGCGTGAGGACTGGGCCGCCTGTGAGTGCTTTGGGACGGGGGTAACAATGCACCCTCTGAAAACTCGCTGAATATAGCGACAAAGTCACTAAGTTGGCAACACTGCCTGGGTGGTCTTAACCAATCATAGCGCAGTATGATACGGCGGTAGAATGCATCCAATTACAATTCAGTATGCTGACACATGAATATTACACTACTGAAACCAAACACTGTGTACACTGAGGGAAAAACATTTCTAACACCCATTGTCCAATGGTGCAATTTTCTAAATACTTTAGAATGTTACACACAATAATGTGTTACACAGTCATAATGCTATGGAAATCACAGTGAGGACCTGCTAAATCATAAAAGTATTAAAACCACAGATCAAGCTGTCAGAAGTAAAGGGGTAAAGAAAATGTCCTCACCATCTCCGTTTTCATCAACCAGTTCAAATATTCTGTCGACCACTTGATCTGGGGTCAGGAGGTTACACTCTGCATCCAGTTCTCCATGACAGGCTTTCTTCAGTCTGTAGATGGACTGAGAGAGAAGATAAGCAGATTTTGGAATGATATCCCATATATGTATATATGCATATAGAAACTGTATTTTATGTAATCATACACTAATCTTTGAACGACTGTTACTTCTACAATCTCCAGCAGCTCTGTTTTGTCAATGCAGCCACTTCCATCTTTGTCGTACATTTTGAAAGTCCATTTCAGTTTATGTTCCAACTTGCCCCTCAAGACCAGGTTCAGGGCTGCAACATACTCTAGAAAATCAATTGTATTGTCCTGCAAAGGAAAAAAATCATAAAATAATTAAATGATACTCATCAATAAATACGGAAATGAAGAGAAAGGGATGTTCAACAGTTATCACTTGAAAGACATGTGGACACTGTGGCCCTCAAAGGCCCCCATCAGATGACAGTAATCTGTATGCTACTCACTCCGTTCTTGTCAAATGCGCGAAACATATTCTCGATATAATCGGCCGCCTCCTTGTTGTTAGTAACGCCGAAGAAGCTCTTGAACTCGTGCATGAAGAGTGTTCCACTTGGGCACTCCACCACAAACTTCTTATACCACTCCTGCAGCTCTGCAACATCAATTTCCTGGTCTGAATCACTCTCCTCACTCAGTCGCTGACCCATCACAGAAAGTTCTCAAATACTGTGATGAGCCTCTAGTTGAAGAAGTTGTCTCTCATGGTTGAAAGTTGTGTCAGTCAGGGGTGTAGCTCTACTCTTTGGATATTCCACAAATTATTTTGCTCTTCCAACTATGTGCTGATTTCCATCACAACTGCAACTTTTGAATTCATCTACTGTGTCTACTATTACTGAAAAAAAATCAAATATTTCCATAAAGGTGCAACACATAAACAAAAACGCTGCAAACAAAAACAGTGAGTTAGTATATTACCCCTGGTCTGCCAATTCTCCACTGAGGGTAGATACTGGGCAAGGATTGATGTAGATCACATGACACAAGGGATTATGAATACATACCTACTGTCTGGATCAATTAGTTCATAGTGAGATCTCGAGAAAGATTTGCCATTGTCCATCTTCTATTGCTCAAGGGTCAATGTAGGAAGTCCAGTCAGTCCAAGGCAAGTGAGCTGCTAGAACTATTGCAACAGACAGGCGGTGAACAAAATAATAGGTATAAAGATGTTAAACTGCTAACTGAACTGCTAATTTAGACTACTATAACCCTAAAAGGAAGATCAGGGTAATAGTGTGACATGACAAAATTGAAATCAACATACAAGTCATTGTAGAAAAGGTACAGGGCCAGTTTCCCAGACCCAGGTTAAATTTAGTCCTGGACTAAAATGCACTTTCAATGGAAACTATAAATTGAAAAATATTTTTCGTCCTGGGCTAGGTTTAATCAGGGTCCAGGAAACTGGCCCATGTCATCTCTACAGAGAATTACATTGAGCAATATACAGGCAGGACCCAGTATATTCCCCAGGTAAAATATGAAGTCCATGTCTTGCTAAAGGTTAGTTACACAATGTCCCTTACATGGGATCCTCTTTTTTGTTTGCAAATCCGATGACTCATAAAGGCCAGGCATTTGGTAATCCCTCTTTAAGGTGATGCTATTTCTAGGACCTTCCTTGATAACCTGAGACAGAATGTACACATTGTGTCTCTGCTGCAGCATAATTATGTCATAAGTACATCAACTTTATGATCAACATTTATTATTGTATTCCATTCCATGGCTCAGTAGTAGGCCTAACATATTTTACCAGTTGACTGTGTCTCCAAATACCCCGTTACATTTTTGTATGGAAGACATGATGTGAAAATCCTGATATCGATATGAGAAACATTTATCCAAATGATATACACAGAAGAGACTGGTGGCAGGAGGCTGAGGTAGAAAAACACCTATGGGACTGACTGTGTCCTTGTTTCCTATAGTCAAACAGTGGGAAGATCTCAATTGCATACTCCTCGTGTCCTCTCTCTTCAGCTCCTTCTCAAAACCAATTGGATGAGAAAGCCAGAGGTCCCGCCCCTCTGACCTCCTCCATTGGATTTTGAGGACGCAAGGAGTATGCAATTGAGATATTCCTAGTGTGTTGACTGAACACCCCCACCTAACACGTCTTGGCTCATGTAATCTGCTGACTAGGTGTTTCATAGGGACAGGGATAAGCATCATTAGCCTGCGTGTCACGGCCATCTGGTGATACTCTCATAACTTTCTATGAAAACGTACAGATATAAGGACATAATGTATTCAAAAGATGTATTCATAGCTGGCAAAAGTTACTTAAAACTTTCTTGATACAAATTAAGCAAACTCCACACTTATAATGTTAGCATTTATTGCTTCATATGAATACTGTGTTGAAAGCCCAATCATTCAATTTACAGAGATGTCAATTGGTTTCACAAAGGCAGTGAACACATATTACAATCTACAAAATCTACTTTACAGAAATGTTTATCCTAATATATAAAGACAGTTGCAGAAACCGGTAAAGATATGGCAGCGAGTAAACTCTCAAAAGAAATCAAACAAGATTCTTGTTATTCCATGTGATCAATGACATTTAGTGCTGATATTGACATTTTAATTTGACAAATGTAGTTTGATTAAATTGAAAAGATCTTGTGAGAATTAAAGGACACCATGTTTTCATACCATTTGAGTAAATCGGACACAAAAACTGACAGTAAATGTGGTCAATAGACAAAAACATTCACTCAATAGTGTCAAACAACAGAAATCAGGAAATTGCCAATATTATTGTTTTCTAATGTTTTGGATTTACATAAGTATTCACACCCCTGAGTAAATACTTTGTAGAAATACCTTTGGCGGCAATTACAACTTTGAGTCGTCTTGGGTATGTCTGCTTCAGCTTTGCACATCTGGATTTGGGGATTTCCTCCCATTCTTCCTTGCAGATTTTCTCAAGCTCTGTTAAGTTAAATGGGAACCGGTGGTGAACAGCAATCTTCAAGTCTTTCCACAGATTTTCAATGGGCTTTGGCTGGGCCACTCAAGGACTTTCAAATTCTTGTTCTGAAGCCATTCCAGTGTTGCTTTGGCTATATGCTTGGGGTCATTGTCCTGTTGGAACGTAAATCTTCACCCGAGTCCAAGGTCATTTGCACTCAGAACAAGGTTCTCATCAAGGATTTGCCTATATTTGACGCCATTCATTGTTCCCGCTATCCTTACCAGTCTCTCAGTCCCTACCATTGAAAAGCATCCCCATAGCATGATGCTGCCACCACCACTGTGCCTGGTTTTCTCCAGACATAGCACTTTTTATTTCAGGCCAAATAGTTACATTTGTCTCTCATCAGACCACAGAATATTTTGCCTTATGCTCCATCTTTCATATGCCTTTTTGCAAACTCCAGGCCTTTGGTCACGTGCCTTTTTCTCAGGAGCGGCTTCATTCTGGCCACTCTCCCATAAAGCTCAGATTGGTGAAGCGCTGTAAAGACTTGTCCTTCTGGCAGGTTCTCTCATCTCAACCAAGGAACTCTGTAGATCTGTCAGAGTGGTCATTGGGTTCTTGGTCACCTCCCTAACCAAGGTCTTTCTTGCTTGGTTGTTCAGTTTGGTCGGATGGCCAGCTCTAGGCAGAGTCTGGGAAGTTCAATTTTTTTTTCAATTTCCCAATGATGGAGACTACTGTGCTCTTGGAAACTTTCAACACTCTAGAAATGGTTTTATACCACTCCCCCAGATATATGCCTCATCACAATTCTATCTCGGCCCCCTACGGACAGTTCCTTGGACTTCATGGTATAGTTCCTGATCTTACATGCACTGTCAACTATGCGACCTTACATAGACAGGTGTTTTTCAAAATCATGTCCAAACAATTTAATTGGCCACAGACTCCAATCAAGTTGTAGTGACAGCTCAAGGATGATCAGAGGAAGTTGGATGCACCTGAGCTCAGTCTGGTGTCACATAAAAGGTGTGTATACTTATGGAAGTTAGACATTTATTTCATTTTCAATAAATTTGCAAAGATTTCTAAAAATGTGTTTTCACTTTGTCATTATGGGGTATTGTGTGTGAATTTTTTTTTTATTTAAGCCATTTTGTAACAAAATGTGGAATAAGTCAAGGAGTATGAACATTTTCTTTAGGCACTATCTGTATTGTTCAATCATAGTGCCACAGTACATGAGGATTGGTTGCAATCCATGGTTTCGGTATGTTTACTTTGCAAGACTACCAAACTTGCAGGGCAAGGGCTTCCAGTGGTTTTATGGTACAGATGTGTGTCATGGACAATCCTTCATACTTTACATTCCAAAGTATGGACAACTACTATGCCAAAAAATAAAACATAGCTGTGAACGGTAGCTTTACCCAGGGAAAACCCAAGGCATCCCACAGATTCAGGAGACCCTAACTGGGCCGGCCAACATGAAACATTCACCACAGATTAAGATCACAACAAACACACAGAAGTGGCTGATCATTCTACATCACGTTAACCAAGCAGCTTTGGAATTGGAGTCTAAAATAGCAGTAAATATTAAAATGACAGTGATCCATGAGAGAAATAAAAACTATCAGGGTGATAAAAGCATTTAAATGTGTAAATGAATGCCACAGGCTTAAAAAAAACCTAACTGGAGGGGAACTTTTAATTATAAGTTCCAGTTTTTAAAACGGACGGATGCGTGGGTCGGGAGGTGGGTGGGTCATACAAGGGGTGAAGAAGAGACCTGAGGGTGAAAATCCTTGAGGCCTCACAAAAAGCCTCCCTATCCTGGGAGACTACAGGTCCATGGTCGTACAGAGATCTCCTGGGTTTGGTACAGTATCAATATCATACAGTGTAAAATAATGTTGGGGGGCCGTCGGCCTCAGGTTAGTCCTGTTCCATGGGCTCATCTGCCCTCTCTGGGCTTTCTGAACTGTTTTCTGCAGCAGCGCCGTCTGCCAACGACTCAGCTGTACTGCTGGGAGAGGCAGAGGGGACAGACTCTTCACTGGGTGCTCCTTCTCCATTGCTGCTACTGCTGCTGCTTACTGGGTCGCTGCAATCTCCTTCCTCCTGTTCCTCTAAACTCAGATCCTTCCCTGACTGCGCAAGCTGCTCCTCTGACTGGTCCATGGTGCTGTCACTCTTTAGACTGTGGGTGGGGCCATACTGAGCCTCCCTCTCTGATGTCCCTGCTGTCTCTTCCTCATCATCAAAGGGATCTTCTGTCTGAGTACTGGAGGGCTCTGGGGGACAGAGAAGGCAAGAATAATACCATTACATCCTTTCATAAATCAATTAATCAATTTTAGCGATGTTATTTTTAGATTTTTGTCACATTTTCCCTTCCACAATCATATAGTGTTATTTGAAAATGCCCCATTGTGCAAAACACATACCATGATCGTCTGTGGTGAGCATATCAGCAGACCTCTCTTTTTCTTCCTCAACAACATCTGTTGACGATTCGGGCATGTCTGATGAGCTTTGGGCAGGTGTAGGACAGGACATCTCCTTGTCTACCTTCTCCTCCTCGTCTTCCTCTTCATCCATGTCTTTGTCAAACTTCAGCCTCTTGACTTCGTGGCTCTCTGCCTCCGTTGCATCCTCTTCCGGATGCTTGGTCTTCATCGGACTGCTCTGTGTGGCATCACTTTCCGATACCGAGGAATCACTAAAGAAAGGGTCAAAAAATAAATAAATAGCCATTTAGCAGACGCTTTTATCCAAAGCGACTTAGTCATGTGCGCATACATTTTTACGTATGGGTGGTCCCGGGGATCGAACCCACTACCCTGGCGTTACAAGCGCCATGCTCTACCAATTGAGCTAGAGGACCACGTTGCTCTAATAAACTGCTCAAAAAAATAAAGGGAACACTTAAACAACACAATGTAACTCCAAGTCAATCACACTTCTGTGAAATCAAACTGTCCACTTAGGAAGCAACACTGATTGACAATACATTTCACATGCTGTTGTGCAAATGGAATAGACAACAGGTGGAAATTATAGGCAATTAGCAAGACACCCCCAATAAAGGACTGGTTTTGCAGGTGGTGACCACAGACCACTTCTCAGTTCCTATGCTTCCTGGCTGATGTTTTGGTCACTTTTGAATGCTGGCGGTGCTTTCACTCTAGTGGTAGCATGAGACGGAGTCTACAACCCACACAAGTGGCTCAGGTAGTGCAGCTCATCCAGGATGGTACATCAATGCGAGCTGTGGCAAGAAGGTTTGCTGTGTCTGTCAGCGTAGTGTCCAGAGCATGGAGGCGCTACCAGGAGACAGGCCAGTACATCAGGAGATGTGGAGGAGGCTGTAGGAGGGCAACAACCCTTTGTGCAAGGAGGAGCACTGCCAGAGCCCTGCAAAATGACCTCCAGTAGGCCACAAATGTGCATGTGTCTGCTCAAACGGTCAGAAACAGACTCCATGAGGGTGGTATGAGGGCCCGACGTCCACAGGTGGGGGTTGTGCTTACAGCCCAACCCCGTGCAGGACGTTTGGCATTTGCCAGAGAACACCAAGATTGGCAAATTCGCCACTGGCGCCCTGTGCTCTTCACAGATGAAAGCAGGTTCACACTGAGCACATGTGACAGACGTGACAGTCTGGAGACGCCATGGAGAACGTTCTGCTGCCTGCAACATCCTCCAGCATGACCGGTTTGGCGGTGGGTCAGTCATGGTGTGGGGTGGCATTTCTTTGGGGGGCCGCACAGCCCTCCATGTGCTCGCCAGAGGTAGCCTGACTGCCATTAGGTACCGAGATGAGATCCTCAGACCCCTTGTGAGACCATATGCTGGTGCGGTTGGCCCTGGGTTCCTCCTAATGAAAGACAATGCTAGACCTCATGAGGCTGGAGTGTGTCAGCAGTTCCTGCAAGAGGAAGGCATTGATGCTATGGACCGCCCGTTCCCCAGACCTGAATCCAATTGAGCACATCTGGGACATCATGTCTCGCTCCATCCACCAACGCCACGTTGCACCACAGACTGTCCAGGAGTTGGCGGATGCTTTAGTCCAGGTCTGGGAGGAGATCCCTCAGGAGACCATCCGCCACCTCATCAGGAGCATGCCCAGGCGTTGTAGGAAGGTCATACAGGCACGTGGAGGCCACACACACTACTGAGCCTCATTTTGACTTGTTTTAAGGACATTACATCAAAGTTGGATCAGCCTGTAGTGTGGTTTTCCACTTTAATTTTGAGGGTGACTCCAAATCCAGACCTCCATGGGTTGATAAATTTGATTTCCATTGATAATTTTTGTGTGATTTTGTTGTCAGCACATTCAACTATGTAAAGAAAAAAGTATTTAATAAGATTATTTCATTCATTCAGATCTAGGATGTGTTATTTTAGTGTTCCCTTTATTGTTTTGAGCAGTGTATATGTCTTATATAACATTTACACGTTATCAGTACATTATATTTCTGCTGACAGTCATCTGGCATTCACACAATGCTAGTTACCTGACAACATGCTCCTCCTCTTGTTCTGTGAGTGGCTCCTTATCATCTGTGCTGTCAGGGACACCGTTTGTAGCCAGAGAGGTGGATAGCGATAGCTTTGGTCTGTTCAGTGGCCTTGGGGTGCCTGGTCCATTTACATTCCTACCGTAAGGAGAGGAATAAATCTCTGCATAACTTAATACACTTTCATACAGTCAAATGTTGTTGCAATTGAATCCACGTTGCAATTGAATCCAATTAATAACAAGGAGATTAATTCAAGCAACACTACAGTGCCACCTACTGTCTGACTATCATATTTGGTATGAGTAAATTAGTAATCCTTCTCCACCTATGTTCAGGGATCCCTGGAAAGAAAGACTTCTGGGTTTTATTGGAGTTCCTTACCCCTGTTTTATGTAAATAAATTGTACAACTGAAAGTTAACCATTGACAAGTAGGTATCTCTCACCTTTCTGAATAAATAGAGGTATTGCCAGGGAACATCACTCCATTCATTCTGTTTACACTGGTTGCCCCATTTTTCCTTTAAAAGAGGCAGAGCGAGTCAACAAATCCAAGTGATTGTTAGCTTTAAAGGTGCTACACAAGATTTTTTTGAATTTTTGCATTGTAATTTTAGAAAATGTCCATAATATATCTGGCGCTAATGGTAGAATGATAGTGTTTCACAGTATTACTTACCCACAAGTGTTGTGATTGGCTGTGATATTCGCCTATTGATTTCTCTCACCGGTGCGGCATCTGTTGTAAAACTAGGATAGCTGTTCTGACTTTGTGGCTGTGTTATCTATTGGAAATCACTCATTTCTTGGTTGCTAAAATCCTACACTGTTTGCTCAATTTCTGCTTATGTGAGAAAACAAGCACTGAATATTGTTGGGAATCATTGTACCATCTAAATCGCAGTGAAATGTGTTTTCAATAACAAAAAAATATCACTTTTACAGCTGTTTGAAGCTGGTGGACCAAAACCGCTGTTTGAAGCGGGTGGACCAAAAACGAAATAAACGTTAGTTTTGATCCACCAGCTTTTTTGTTATTGAAAATATATTTCACAGCGATTTAGATGGCACAATGATTCCCTACACTATTCAGTGCTTGCTTTCTCACATAAGCAGAAATGGAGCAAACAGTGTAAAATTTTAAAACCAGTAAATTAGTAATTTCCACTAGATAACACAGCCAAAGTCAGAACAGCTTTCCCAGTTTGACAACAGATGCTGCTCCGCGGGAGAAATCAACAAGTGAATATCACAGCCAATCACAACACAAGCGGGTAAGTAATACTGTGAAACACTATCATTCCACTATTAGCGGCAGATATATTATGGATATTTTCTGTAATTACAACGCAAAAAAATCCAATGTGTACGTTAGCGCCTTTAAAGCTGACCCCAACTTTAAAGTACGTTTTGCTATAAAAAACACTTTAGGTATAAGCTAAAGGGGTAGGTAGAGAAACATGACAGAATACTTACTCTGACGTAGGATACACACAGCTGACCACCATCACATTCTGCAAAACATAAACAACGCCATAAATCCCCAAGCATTTATATTGTATACTAATACAAGCAATTCTAACTAGTTTAAAAATATATATATAAAAAACACTGGGCCATGCGAGAAAACATTATTCACTCAAATCAACACAAGGACACATTTTAGTCATTTAGCAGACGCTCTTATCCAGAGCGACTTACAGTTAGTGAGTGCATACATTTTCATACTGATGTATACTGACGTATGTGACATAGGTATTCTTACTAGGCTTAATACCCTGATTCAAACACCCATTAAGAGAACTAATCTCAGTAGAAGTGATGATACTTACCTTCTCCACTCCCCTGAGGAACTTGTCTGTTCCTGTGTAGTTCCTCTTAGGCTCAGTCAGTAACTCACACAGACGCTGGATGGTGAACGGAATCCTGGAAAATATGGATATTTGTCAAGAAGGTATACTTTCCTCACCGTGGCTGTATACTAGGGCTACACAAAGACATACTGGTAAAACAAGCAAAAGGATCGTTTTTATTAGACGTTTCAGCACTGGATAGTGGAGGATACTCACCCATTGTATCCTTCTACGATTTTGAGAATCCTCTCCTTCATCTCTTCAAAAGGAATGTACTCCACATTAGGATTGGCTGGCCCTCGCTGGTCTGGTGTCGAGGCTCTGAAGTCATCCATTACTTTCTCAAGTTTAAACAGGAAATAACTTTTGAACTGTGACCATGAAATCCTGGAAAAGATGGGAGACCAAAAAGTTATCCTCTAGTTCAGACACATTGTAACCTATCAAACAGAGATGCAGCCTTGATGTTGTGATAACTGCCAGTCTTGGGACCACACAATGATGTCTCCTCAAACACAGCCTTGGTTTTGGTAGCATATCGAGATTTCAGGAATATGACTATCCATGCGTTGTAATTTACCCATTGTGTAATTTACCAGTCCTTTTATTTCTATCCTGTATTGACACATTGTCTACTCATTAGAAAAGTGGCTGGCACCGTGAGGCTCATTTATCAGACACTCACATCGTTTCTCCGGTTTTGGCGACATGACACAGAAATTTATCCAGGGCAGGACAGGCATCTTTCTTCCCTTTCTTCTCGAAGTCTGAACGTAGATGTATGGAAATAGAAAAGACTCTTTCAAGTTATGTGCAGCGTTGCAGTGCAGGGTAACGTTAGCGGTCAGCAATAATTAACTGCAAGGCAACCACTGCGTTAGCGAGCTAACAGTACCTAGTTAGAACACTTAACTAACTAGACATGGTCAACATAAACTAGGTTACAGCGACTTTCTAACTATGCAACTACAATGTGGGTAAAATAGCTTCAACACAACACACTTATTCACATACGTTTTTAATTATACAAGTACAGTAACGTTATCAAAATAAAATTGGCCTAGCGCGAGTTAGCTAGCTAACAATTTCGACTGCTAGTTACAAGCTAGCTAGCTAAGTTAGCATCCAACCATACATTTAGACATTAAAACCGGCATCCAACGAGTAGAATATATGCAGCTACTTAACATTACGTTTGGCAATTCAAATGTAGCTAGCTAATCATGTACAGATACAGAAAATCTGCAAAAGCGAGTTGACTTACCCGTAAAACCCTCCAAAAGTGTGTCGATTTCCATGGTTGTAACGTAAGCTATCTTATGGCAAGCGATGTCCCCTACACAACAGTGACAGGAAACAGAAAAAGCTAGCTACCGCTAGCTAGCAACAATGCATCCCAGTAAGTTTATGGCGCCGTTTATCACACACACACTTGCTAGCTAACGTTAGCCACCCACACAACTGGGCATGTTCAACCAGAGTTTCTCTGGCAAACTGGGCTTCTTCTTCTTTGGGATTGGGTTGGAGGATCGCATCCAACTTTTAAAGTGCGTACACCGCCACCTACTGTACTGGAGTGTGATGCCAGTCACCTCCTACCTACAGTTGAAGTCGGAAGTTTACATACACTTAGGTTGGAGTCATTAAAACTCGTTTTTCAACCACTCCACACATTTCTTGTTAACAAACTATAGTTTTGGCAAGTCGGTTAGGACATCTACTTTGTGCATGACACAAGTAATTTTTCCAACAATTGTTTACAGACAGATTATTTTGCGCACATTGTATATAGATGTTCTATTGTGTTATTGACTGTACGTTTTGTTTATTCCATATGTAACTCTGTTGTTGTTGTTTTTATCGCACTGCTTTGCTTTACCTTGGCCAGGTCGCAGTTGTAAATGAGAACTTGTTCTCAACTGGCTTACCTGATTATATAAAGGTGAAATACATGTTTTTTTGTTGTTGTTTTTTTTCACTTACAATTCACTGTATCACAATTCCAGTGGGTCAGAAGTTTACATACACTAAGACAACTGTGCCTTTGAACAGCTTGGAACATTCCAGAAAATGATGTCATGGCTTTAGAAGCTTCTGATAGGCTAATTGACATCATTTGAGTCAATTGGAGGTGTACCTGTGGATGTATTTCAAGGCCTACCTTCAAACTCAGTGCCTCTTTGCTTGACATCATGGGAAAATCAAAAGAAATCAGCCAAGACCTCAGAAAACAAATTGTAGACCTCCACAAGTCTGGTTCATCCTTGGGAGCTATTTCCAAACGCCTGAAGGTACCACGTTCATCTGTACAAACAATAGTACGCAAGTATAAACACCATAGGACCACGCAGCCGTCATACCGCTCAGGAAGGAGACGCGTTCTGTCTCCTAGAGATGAATGTACTTTGGTGCGAAAAGTGCAAATCAATCCCAGAACAACAGCAAACGACCTTGTGAAGATGCTGGAGGAAATGGGTACAAAAGTATCTATATCCACAGTAAAACAAGTCATATATCAACATAACCTGAAAGGCCGCTCAGCAAGGAAGAAGCCACTGCTCCAAAACCGCCATTAAAAAGCCAGACTACGGTTTGCAACTGCACATGGGGACAAAGAACTTACTTTTTGGAGAAATGTCCTCTGGTCTGATGAAACAAAAATAGAACTGTTTGGCCATAATGACCATTGTTATGTTTGGAGGAAAAAGGGGGTTGCTTGCAAGCCGAAGAACACCATCCCAACCGTGAAGCACGGGGGTGGCAGCATCATGCTGTGGGGGTGCTTTGCTGCAGGAGGGACTGGTGCACTTCACAAAATAGATGGCATCATGAGGAAGGAAAATTATGTGGATATATTGAAGCAATATCTCAAGATATCAGTCAGGAAGTTAAAGCTTGGTCGCAAATGGGTCTTCCAAATGGACAATGACCCCAAGCATACTATGGAGGACTAAAAGTGCCACAATTAAATAAATAAATACACCATTAAATAATTACTTAAATGTGTCATTAATTAATTAAAATTAGAATTAAATACATAAATGTGTAATTAAATGTATCATTAATTAATTCAAATACCGATTCATTTTATGTAAAATACATATATAATTATTTCACTATTTACATTTACATTTCATGATCCTGCATTGCAGTGATTCATGAATTACTTAAAACTGTCAAACTGACCCATCAAAGTCAGTGGGCGGGGCTAACGCGAATCTAGTCTGATCCATTGCTTTGGTCTGAAGTAGAGTAGGCCAACCTGGATAGAGACAATGGAGGATCTCCGTGAACTTTCCAGGGAGTTGGTTAGAGACATTTTAAACTTAGCAGAGGATGTAGAAGCAGGACCTGCTGACATTAGCCGGAATTGATTTGTCTTGGCTTGATGCAGAGGGTAACCAATCAGGCGTTAGGTTCCGCCTACCAACTTTTGATGGGTCAGTTTGACAGTTTTAAGTAATTCAGGAAGCACTCCAACGCAGGACCATGAAATGTAAATGTAAATAGTGAAATTATTATATATGTATTTTACATAAAATGAATCGGTATTTGAATTAATTAATGACACATTTAATAACACATTTATGTATTTAATTCTAATTTTAATTAATTAATGACACATTTAAGTAATTATTTAATGGTGTATTTATTTATTTAATTGTGGCACTTTTAGTCCTCCATAGCATACTTCCAAAGTTGTGGCAAAATGGCTTAAGGACAACAAAGTCAAGGTATTGGAGTTGCCATCACAAAGCCTTGACCTCAATCCTATAGAAAATGTGTGGGCAGAACTGAAAAAGCGTGTGCGAGCAAGGAGGCCTACAAACCTGACTCAGTTACACCAGCTCTGTCAGGAGGAATGGGCCAAAATTCACCCAACTTATTGTGCGAAGCTTGTGGAAGGCTACCCGAAACGTTTGAACCCAAGTTAAACAATTTAAAGGCAATGCTACCAAATACTAATTGAGTGTATGTAAACTTCTGACCTACTGGGAATGTGATGAAATAAATAAAAGCTGAAATAAATCATTCTCTCTACTATTATTCTGACATTTCACATTCTTAAAATAAAGTGGTGATCCTAACTCCTAAGACAAGGAATTTTTACTAGGATTAAATGTCAGGAATTGTGAAAAACAGAGTTTAAATGTAAACTGCTCAAAATAATTAAGGGAACACTAAAATAACACATCCTAGATCTGAATGAATGAAATAATCTTATTAAATACTTTTTTCTTTACATAGTTGAATGTGCTGACAACAAAATCACACAAAAATTATCAATGGATATCAAATTTATCAACCCATGGAGGTCTGGATTTGGAGTCACCCTCAAAATTAAAGTGGAAAACCACACTACTGGCTGATCCAACTTTGATCTCTGAGGGATCTCCTCCCAGACCTGGACTAAAGCATCCGCCAACTCCTGGACAGTCTGTGGTGCAACGTGGCTTTGGTGGATGGAGCAAAACATGATGTCCCAGATGTGCTCAATTGGATTCAGGTCTGGGGAACGGGCAGGCCAGTCCATAGCATCAATGCCTTCCTCTTGCAGGAACTGCTGACACACTCCAGCCTCATGAGGTCTAGCATTGTCTTTCATTAGGAGGAACCCAGGGCCAACCGCACCAGCATATGGTCTCACAAGGGGTCTGAGGATCTCATCTCGGTACCTAATGGCAGTCAGGCTACCTCTGGCGAGCACATGGAGGGCTGTGCGGCCCCCCAAAGAAATGCCACCCCACACCATGACTGACCCACCGCCAAACCGGTCATGCTGGAGGATGTTGCAGGCAGCAGAACGTTCTCCACGGCGTCTCCAGACTCTGTCACGTCTGTCACATGTGCTCAGTGTGAACCTGCTTTCATCTGTGAAGAGCACAGGTCGACAGTGGCGAATTTGCCAATCTTGGTGTTCTCTGGCAAATGCCAAAAGACCTGCACGGTGTTGGGCTGTAAGCACAACCCCCACCTGTGGACGTCGGGCCCTCATACCACCCTCATGGAGTCTGTTTCTGACCGTTTGAGCAGACACATGCACATTTGTGGCCTACTGGAGGTCATTTTGCAGGGCTCTGGCTGTGCTCCTCCTGCTCCTCCTTGCACAAAGGCGGAGGTAGCAGTCCTGCTGCTGGGTTGTTGCCCTCCTACGGCCTCCTCCACGTCTCCTGATGTACTGGCCTGTCTCCTGGTAGCGCCTCCATGCTCTGGACACTACGCTGACAGACACAGCAAACCTTTTTGCCACAGCTCGCATTGATGTGCCATCCTGGATGAGCTGCACTACCTGAGCCACTTGTGTGGGTTGTAGACTCCGTCTCATGCTACCACTAGAGTGAAAGCACCGCCAGCATTCAAAAGTGACCAAAACATCAGCCAGGAAGCATAGGAACTGAGAAGTGGTCTGTGGTCACCACCTGCAAAACCAGTCCTTTATTGGGGGTGTCTTGCTAATTGCCTATAATTTCCACCTGTTGTCTATTCCATTTGCACAACAGCATGTAAAATGTATTGTCAATCAGTGTTGCTTCCTAAGTGGACAGTTTGATTTCACAGAAGTGTGATTGACTTGGAGTTACATTGTGTTGTTTAAGTGTTCCCTTTATTTTTTTGAGCAGTGTATTTGGCTAAGGTGTATGTAAACTTCCGACTTCAACTGTACATTAAATTATCTTCATTAGTCCTGTTCCTCTAAGAAATTGAAATAGAGCCCTAGACACCACTTCCCTCCCCCCACTACACTACTCAAACCCTAACCCCTTCCAGCCTCTCTAACCCTTTTACACAATCTTTCCCTATCTACCTCATACAGTTCACAAAATATCAACACATGCTCCACCTTTTCCTCCACTAAACATTCATCACACAGACTTGTTTCATGTCTCCCCATCATCCACAACGTGGCATTCAAACCAGTGTGCCCAACTTCCTCTCTCCTACCTCCCATACTCCCCATCTCTTCCAGTTTTGAAACTGCAGTAAAAGTGCAGTAACTGCAGTCGACTATGGTATTTTGGACACAGTGATTGCAGAATAAGTGCAGTGTACTGCAGTTATACTGCATTGTAACTGCAATTACATTGCAAAATTACTGCAGTAAAAAAAACGGTGTTATTTTGGACGCAGTCTTTGCAGCATACTGCAGTTATACTGCATTCTAACTACAGTTATACTGCACTCTGACGGCAATCTTTTTTGTAAGGGATTGTTCCCCTTACTACTAGCATTCCACTCCCTTTGCCAAAGATTGAGCCCTTTTGCCCGGATCAAGAACTTGACTTCCCTGCGGCCCAGCGGGACCTGAATATCTGCCCCCTCTCTCCTCACAGGACTCTTAGCCACCACATCGGTATTCTCATTACCCTCCACACCCACATGGGCAGGCCCAGCAAAAGCTTATCACCACTCCCATCCTCTCCAATCCCATTAACAGCCCCATCATCTCCACAAACAAGTCTTCCCTATCTGACCCTAACTGTCTTCACACTATTCAACACTGCAGCCGAATCAGAGCAGATCACCACTGAGTGGTTTCACCTCCTCCACCCATCTCAAACCTATAATCATGGCCATCAACTCGGCCGCATACACTGACACATAATCAGTTAACCGCTTACATACTCTAACATTGAAATCTGGGATATACACCCCTGCCGCCCACCCTATCACTGACTGGATCCTTTGAACCATCTGTATACAGTGGGGAGAACAAGTATTTGATACACTGCCGATTTTGCAGGTTTTCCTACTTACAAAGCATGTAGAGGTCTGTAATTTTTATCATAGATACACTTCAACTGTGAGAGACGGAATCTAAAAAAAAATCCAGAAAATCACATTGTATGATTTTTAAGTAATTGATTTGCATTTTATTGCATGACATAAGTATTTGATCACCTACCAACCAGTAAGAATTCTGGCTCTCACAGATCTGTTAGTTTTTCTTTAAGAAGCCCTCCTGTTCTCCACTCATTACCTGTATTAACTGCACCTGTTTGAACTCGTTACCAGTATAAAAGACACCTGTCCACACACTCAATCAAACAGACTCCAACCTCTCCACAATGGCCAAGACCAGAGAGCTGTGTAAGGACATCAGGGATAAAATTGTATACCTGCACAAGGCTGGGATGGGCTACAGGACAATAGGCAAGCAGCTTGGTGAGAAGGCAACAACTGTTGGCGCAACTATTAGAAAATGGAAGAAGTTCAAGATGACGGTCAATCACCCTCGGTCTGGGGCTCCATGCAAGATCTCACCTCGTGGGGCATCAATGATCATGAGGAAGGTGAGGGATCAGCCCAGAACTACACGGCAGGACCTGGTCAATGACCTGAAGAGAGCTGGGACCACAGTCTCAAAGAAAACCATTAGTAACACACTATGCCGTCATGGAATAAAATCCTGCAGCGCACACAAGGTTCCCCTGCTCAAGCCAGCGCATGTCCAGGCCCGTCTGAAGTTTGCCAATGACCATCTGGATGATCCAGAGGAGGAATTGGAGAAGGTCATGTGGTCTGATGAGACAAAAATATAGCTTTTTGGTCTAAACTCCACTCGCCGTGTTTGGAGGAAGAAGAAGGATGAGTACAACCCCAATAACACCATCCCAACCGTGAAGCATGGAGGTGGAAACATCATTCTTTGGGGATGCTTTTCTGCAAAGGGGACAGGACGACTGCACCGTATTGAGGGGAGGATGGATGGGGCCATGTATCGCGAGATCTTGACCAACAACCTCCTTCCCTCAGTAAGAGCATTGAAGATGGGTCGTGGCAGGTCTTCCAGCATGACAACGACCCGAAACACACAGCCGGGGAAACTAAGGAGTGGCTCCGTAAGAAGCATCTCAAGGTCCTGGAGTGGCCTAGCCAGTCTCCAGACCTGAACCCAATAGAACATCTTTGGAGGGAGCTGAAAGTCCGTATTGCCCAGCGACAGCCCCGAAACCTGAAGGATCTGGAGAAGGTCTGTATGGAGGTGTGGGCCAAAATCCCTGCTGCAGTGTGTGCAAACCTGGTCAAGACCTACAGGAAACGTATGATCTCTGTAATTGCAAACAAAGGTTTCTGTACCAAATATTAAGTTCTGCTTTTCTGATGTATCAAATACTTATGTCATGCAATAAAATGCTAATGAATTACTTAAAAATCATACAATGTGATTTTCTGGATTTTTGTTTTAGATTCCGTCTCTCACAGTTGAAGTGTACCTATGATAAAAATTACAGACCTCTACATGCTTTGTAAGTAGGATAACCTTCAAAATCGGCAGTGTATCAAATACTTGTTCTCCCCACTGTATATCCTTAAAAATGAATAAAACCGATTATCTATATATCTCTCCACACACAGTCTCATGTCCTCACCCCATTCTCTGCTGCCCTCAATCATGTCCACATCTATACTTGGCACGGAGGAACGTTCCCCAATGCAATTAACGGCCCTATCGCTCTCTCCCCCAGTCCATATTCTACCACCTTCTGCCCGATTGTCCACCCGTACGCCCTCTGCTTACCCCCTCCTCGCTCCTAGCATTCTCCAGTTGCCGTGACCGCAGTATGTCCTTCTGAACTCTCTTTCAACCTCGCCCAGTATGCTAATGCAAGTGTGTCCCGCTTTATCCTCAGTGGCAGAGGCCCACTATCCACCTGCAATACCTCAACAGGTGTCGTCCTGAAGGCTCCCACACACAATCTTGACTGTATCGTATCCAGGCACTGTAGTACCGTTTTGGCTGCCGATCCATATACAAGGCACCCATAATCCAAAGACGACCTGATCAATGCCTGGTACATATACAACAGTGTTTGTCTATCCGACCCCCAATCATATCCTGCCACTGCCCTCATGAGGTTCAGCACCTTCCTACACTTAATTTCAATATACTCAACATGGGTCTTCCACGTAAGCCTCTCATCAAACCACATACCTAAATACAATATACTCAGACACCCTACCTATATCCTGACCATATACAGTGGCTTCGGAAAGTATTCAGACCCCTTGACTTTTTCAAAATGTTGTTACGTTACAGCCTTATTCTAAAATGGATTAAATAACAAAACATTTCTATATATAACAAAACACACAATACCCCATAATGACAATGTCAAAACAGGTTTTTAGAAATGTTAGCTAATTTATTAAAAATAAAAAACACAAATACCTTATTTACATAAGTATTCAGACCCTTTGCTATGATACCTTATTTACATAAGTATTCAGACCCTTTGCTATGAGACTCGAAAATTGAGCTCAGGTGCATCCTGTTTCCATTGATCATCCTTGAGATGTTTCTACAACTTGATTGGACTCCACCTGTGATAAATTCAATTGATTGGACATGATTTGGAAAGGCACACAACTGTCTATAAAAGGTCCCACAGGTCCCACTCAAGCCATGAGTTCGAAGGAATCGTCCGTAGAGCTCCGAGACAGGATTACGTCGAGGCACAGATCTGGGGAAGGGTACCAACAAATGTCTGCAGCATTGAAGGTCCCCAAGAACACAGTGGCCTCCATCATTCTTAAATGGAAGTTTAGAACCACCAAGACTCTTCCTAGAACATGTGACAATTCGATTTTATTTTATTATAAAGGGCATTTATAATGTTCATTCACACATTCAGATCATCAATCTATTTTATATTGGCAGATGCAATTGTCACTGAAAATATCAGTCATGCTTAGATGTTGTAGTCTGAGTACCAGTTTGTTTACTTCATTCTACTCTTTGACACTCCTGTCATGCTAATCTTTGGCATAATGACATCGTGTACAAGGAGTGGAGTGTTAGCTAAATGAAATTAGATGTTTAAGGTCATGATGCGGATGATTGAATATTATGATCGTTCTGATGATTTAGCCATATTTATTGTATTAATGTTTGTATAATGGACTGTGAAAAGTATAGAACAAATACATTGTATAATATTCCATTATATTATACAGCATCGCGACTGCCGCTTATGACAAGAACGTTTGGCCTGCAGACAGCAAGGCGTCATCATTTTACTGTTGTTGTGGCTGCAGACCCGTGAAGCGACGAATGAGTCAGCAGAGTAGGCACTTCCTATATAATCAAAAGGTGAAACGAGATCTTTTAAAAACAATCAAATCGATTATTTTTTACGAGCAAGGAAATGGCAGTTCCTGCTGTCCCGAAAATGCAATTGAACAACACAGTAAGTCAAAACTCCCCAGAACATAACATCCATATTGACGAAAGAGAATTGGAGAACATCACGAACAACGATGGAAACGGCACTCTCCCATTACATTCTCCGTGGACTTTTTGGCTTGATAGGTAAGCTCACCATTTTATCATTACGTGGATTTAATAGCGATTCTTTCTATGTTTTCATGGGATGAGTTTGTGTCAACAAAACTGCGTTTGGGATAGCTAGAAAGGCTTCTTGCCAAAACAAAGGAGGAGGCCTTGCAGACAGTTCTGCGTATAACGCCGCAATAAGGCAAGATGACTACCATATTCATTATACATTAAATGATTATTACATTTGACTATAAGCCTGTGTTTTTGCAATCACGATACATTGTTTCTTATTCCTCAGCTGATTTGATGCCATGCGCACCATTAGTTAGAACATTTTCTCAGAAGCTCAGTCTTCGATTCATTGTAAAACTTCAGATCACTGCTTCACTGTATTTGCAAATATGATTATATTATGGGAGGTGTACACATGATCTGCAGAAATTGGACTTTGTCTATTTTCATGAACACTGTGAGTGCTTGTATATGGGGCATAGTTTGTTTACCTCTTATGTAGCCTGTTTTAAGTGGGGAAAGCACTTGGCCCTCAACACTGATTTGTGCTAAATATGAAAGCATTTATTTCCAATCTCAAGACTAAAAGTCAAATCATAGGCTAGTCTGTTTTTGTTTAGGCTACTGCCATCCATTGACGCTGTAATGTGGGCAATTTTTCTCTGTCTTGGTTTCAATTTAGACCTAGCTTTTTTCTAATAAAAAACTGTGCATTGTGATGGATGTCACAATAATGGCCATAGATTATCTATTTGCATATACAGATCTTTCCTTTCAATGTGTTTTATTGAAATTATGTATCTAAATCAATGTACTGCTCTGGCCAAGAGAGAATGAAGACAATTTAAAATGGGTCAGTCTTGTTTACTGCTGGGCTAGAGTCCAGTGGAAAGGGGGTTGACACCTGATCGCCGACCTGGCTGCTTTGAGCACTGCTTTGAGCACAACCTCTCCTCACTGTTTTGGCTGAGTTATCTAGTAAGGCCTGTTCACAGAGTTGGAGAACTACTGTACTAAGGCTTGCAATATGTACCAAACTAAACTAAACTAAAACTGATAGATCATGCCAGATGCAGAGTTATAAATTAGTTTAAATATTGATGTTTTGTAGTGCTGAGCGATAACTGCTTTTTGAGGTCAGTTCTGTTTCGGTTTTTGAAAAATAATCACGGTTTTCAATTTAGGTTTCGATAAAAAACCAACAATAAATGCATTATGTGGGTTCAATGTTGTAACAACACAGAATAAAACATTGATGGTAATGGCTGCCCAATACTATGACTTATTAGGCTCATGATTGATTCACATTACTTTACTTTAATAAAATATTTCAGTAGTTGTGTATATTTTTATTTTTTATTTTATTACTTATTATTTTATTCCAAGTCATCATCTCATCTCTTCTCAGGCAGTAGCAGCCAGCCAGCCATCTATCTCTGTGCTCCCCAAAGAGTAATCCTTCAGGCTAGTCGGCTAGCCTAGCTGGCTAGCTGCCTGCTGTCTGAATAAATCACAATTTCAGTAGTTCTTCAAAGTATATAAGACATAGTTTTAAGACCGCTAAATAACAACTCTCAATCAATTAGATGTATTGTCGGGTAGAGATACCTAAGCAACCACTCTATCCCTCTCGTGTCTCTCTATTGGTCTTCCTCTCTGTGTCTGTCTGCCGGCCCCACCACTGAGGTATAATAAGAACTGGAGACTGCGTCAAAGAGGTCCGACCATTGTTTTCAAGGTAATCTACTCACGTTCGCTTAAGTCGATTCATGGACCGTCTATATCTGGGTTGCATCCGGTTTATACAGACCAACATCACATACGCACTAGCACTCAGTGCGCACAGAGAGCAGCGCGAGCAGCGACAACATCATCACATCATCCAAAAACATGGCAGACATTGGATGAATATAAAATGCTAATATCTTTAGTCATCACCTTTGTGCACAAAACAACACTGAATAATTCAAATTATTGTCGCTGAGGACAAATTTTTTCCCATCACTCACAGCCAAAGTTATTAACATTTTATATTCATCCAATGTCTGTCATGTTTTTGGAAGACGTGAAGATGTCGTTGCTGCTCGCACTGCTCCCTGTGCACACTGAGTGCTAGTGCGCATGTGATGTTGGTCCATATAAACCGGATGCAACCCGGATATAGACGGTGTAGGCGAACGTGAGTAGACACAGTCTCCAGTTCTTATTATACCTCGGTGCTTGGGTCCCACAGGCTTGCCTGGCAAGAACCAATGAGAACAAGCAGCTGTAGGCGCAATGGATTCTGGTCATTGTAGTTAAGGACCACGTTTTTTGCGCATAACTATGATGAGTTGGATAACATGTCTCAGAGAGAAATCTCTCTAGAGAAACGCCATCGGTCAATTCGTTATTTTACAAAATGAAGAAGATTTCAGTTAATCGCTCAGCACTAAAGTTTTGTTTGGATATTTCCTACAGATCTTTACCAGGAACAACCGCAGCAGAATGTGAATCAGGTCTGAAAAAAATCTACACTGTGCAAACAGTTCAGGTAAGGTTTGTGTGTTAGTTGAGAGGTTTAAGAACTGCCTGCATCACATCATTGCCACATCATTGTAAATACACATGTACGGTACTTCTTTATGTTATGGCTTTGTGTTTATCAGTAATAAGGCAACAATATACATTTGATAATCATGGTAAAGATCCTATTTTTCCTCCCATCTTTTTGAATAGAGCTTTTGGAGTGTGTACAACAATATACCTGGCGTGTCCAGCCTACCACTGAGATGTAGCTATCACTTAATGAGAGGGGAGAGAAGACCACTCTGGTGAGCCTAACTCACCTAACTCACCTAATTCATACATAAACACATAAGTCTATGCATAATTCTATGTGTAAATTCTATGACCTTTTATTTACTCTCTGCTATGCATTTTCTATTTCATCCAGGGAAGAAGAGAGTAATGCGAAGGGGGGAGTTTGGAAAATGAAAGTACCCAAAGAAAGCACTGTAAGTACGATAAATGTAATCTGTTATGTTTTAATCATTCATACAAATGTAATTTATAATGTTTGTTGAGTAAATGTGTGTAGTATTGGTTACATACTCAATGTGTCTTCATTTCCCCAGCCTGCTGTATGGAAGGAGTTACTGTTGGCCACTATTGGGGAGCAATTCACTGATTACTGTGCTTCAGGTAAGAGTGTGAAGAGAGAGAGCATTGTTTGCAGTGTCTTTCAGACTCCAACTGTGGGTTTTGGTCTACATGGTCTGTTGTCAGCTTGTACAGTCATGTACAGTGAGGGGAAAAAAGTATTTGATCCCCTGCTGATTTTGTACGTTTGCCCACTGACAAAGACATGATCAGTCTATAATTTTAATGGTAGGTTTATTTGAACAGTGAGAGACAAAATAACAACAAAAAAATCCAGAAAAACGCATGTCAAAAATGTTATAAATTGATTTTGCATTTTAATGAGGGAAATAAGTATTTGACCCCTCTGCAAAACACGACTTAGTACTTGGTGGAAAAAGTATCTTTATTGGCAATCACAGAGGTCAGACGTTTCTTGTAGTTGGCCACCAGGTTTGCACACATCTCAGGAGGGATTTTGTCCCACTCCTCTTTGCAGATCTTCTCCAAGTCATTAAGGTTTCGAGGCTGATGTTTGGCAACTCGAACCTTCAGCTCCCTCCACAGATTTTCTATGGAATTAAGGTCTGGAGACTGGCTAGGCCACTCCAGGACCTTAATGTGCTTCTTCTTGAGCCACTCCTTTGTTGCCTTGGCTGTGTGTTTTGGGTCATTGTCATGCTGGAATACCCATCCACGACCCATTTTCAATGCCCTGGCTGAGAGAAGGAGGTTCTTACCCAAGATTTGACGGTACATGGCCCCGTCCATCGTCCCTTTGATGCGGTGAAGTTGTCCTGTCCCCTTAGAAGAAAAACACCCCCAAAGCATAATGTTTCCACCTCCATGTTTGACGGTGGGGATGGTGTTCTTGGGGTCATAGGCAGCATTCCTCCTCCTCCAAACACGGCGAGTTGAGTTGATGCTAAAGAGCTCGATTTTGGTCTCATCTGACCACAACACTTTCACCCAGTTTTCCTCTGAATCATTCAGATGTTCATTGGCAAACTTCAGACGGGCCTGTATATGTGCTTTCTTGAGCAGGGGGACCTTGAGGGCGCTGCAGGATTTCGGTCCTTCACGGCGTAGTGTGTTACCAATTGTTTTCTTGGTGACTATGGTCCCAGCTGCCTTGAGATCATTGACAAGATCCTCCCGTGTAGTTCTGGGCTGATTCCTCACCGTTCTCATGATCATTGCAACTCCACGAGGTGAGATCTTGCATGGAGCCCTAGGCCGAGGGAGATTGACAGTTATTTTGTGTTTCTTCCATTTGCGAATAATCGCACCAACTGTTGTCACCTTCTCACCAAGCTGCTTGGCAATGGTCTTGTAGCCCATTCCAGCCTTGTGTAGGTCTACAATCTTGTCCCTGACATCCTTGGAGAGCTCTTTGGTCTTGGCCATGGTGGAGAGTTTGGAATCTGATTGATTGATTTCTTCTGTGGACAGGTGTCTTTTATACAGGTAACAAGCTGAGATTAGGAGCACTCCCTTTAAGGGTGTGCTCCTAATCTCAGCTCGTTACCTGTATAAAAGACACCTGGGAGCCAGAAATCTTTCTGATTGAGAGGGGGTCAAATACTTATTTCCCTCATTAAAATGCAAATCAATTTATAACATTTTTGACATGCGTTTTTCTGGATTTTTTTGTTGTTATTCTGTCTCTCACTGTTCAAATAAACCTACCATTACAATTATAGACTGATCATTTCTTTGTCAGTGAGCAAACGTACAAAATCAGCAGGGGATCAAATACTTTTTTCCCTCACTGTAGAATGAGTCTGTCAACCACACAGAAGAACTCTGTGAAATGCCATGATCATCCAACAGTTTCCGGTCCTTTCCTCCGGATGCCATCCTGTTCTACATTCCTCAGATTGTTCAGGTCCTGCACTATGACAAGATGGGCTATGTGAGAGAGTACATCCTGTGGGCGGCCCAGAAGTCTCAGCTCTTGGCCCACCAGTTCATCTGGAACATGAAGACTAACATCTACCTGGACGAGGAGGCACACCACAAAGACCCTGACATCAGGGATCTGTTGGAGGAGATGGTTGAGGAGATAATAGGCTCTCAGTCTGGTGCAGCAAAATACTTCTTCCAGAGAGAGTTTTACTTCTTTGACAAAATCACCAACGTATCCGCCATCATCAAGCCCACCCCAAAGGGAGATGAGAGGAAGAGGGCATGTCTCAAAGCTCTGTCTCACATCAAAGTCCAGCAAGGCTGCTACCTGCCCAGTAACCCAGTGGCCATTGTACTGGACATTGACTACCAGTCTGGAACACCCATACAGAGTGCTGCCAAGGCCCCGTACCTGGCTAAGTTTAAGGTGAAGCATTGTGGGGTCAATGAGCTGGAGAAGGAGGGTCTGCGTTGTCAGACTGACTCCCAGGACGTGGAGCCGGTCGAAGACGTAGCTCGCAGGATTGTCTGGCAGGCCGCCATCTTTAAAGTGGGAGACGACTGCAGACAGGATGTGCTGGCTCTCCAGATCATTGGTCTGTGTAAGAACATCTTCCAACTGGTGGGACTGGACCTGTTTGTGTTTCCCTACAGAGTGGTAGCTACCGTCCCTGGGTGTGGTGTGATCCAGTGTATCCCAGACTGTAAATCCCGTGACCAGCTGGGCAGACAGACAGACTTTGGGATGTATGACTACTTCAGAAACCAGTATGAAGACGAGTCCACTCTGGCCTTCCAGAAGGCGAGGTATAACTTCATCTGTAGTATGGCTGCTGCTCTTCCTGCTACAAATCAAAGATAGACACAACGGGAACATCATGCTGGACAGCAAGGGACACCTTATCCACACAGACTTTGGCTTCAGTTCTCCTGGTGGTAACCTGGACTGGGAGCCAGACATCAAGCTGACTGATGAGATGGTGATGATCATGGGAGGCAAGATGGAGGCCATACCTTTCAAATGGTTCATGGAGATGTGTGTCAGGGTATACCTGGCTGTCAGGCCCTACATGGATGCAGTGGTGTCTCTAGTCACTCTGATGCTGGACACTGGACTACCATGCTTCAGAGGATAGACCATCAAACTGCTCCAGCAGCGATTCGTCCCAGTATGAGTGAGAAGGAGGCAGCTGCTTTCATCATCAAGGTCATCCAGAGGTGCTTCCTCAGCAGCAGGAGCAAGACCTATGGTATGCTTCAGTATTACCAGAACCAGATCCCATACTAAAGACCTGCTGTAGTATTGTCACATTCTGAAGACCTGGGACCTGTCTGATATGAGTCCTCATTCCCTATATAGGCAGTAACCTCTGCTTTAGACAGTCTGTAAGGTCAGAGGTTGTCCTATATACAAAGTAATTATCCTCGGCTTGCTAGCTAGCTAGCGTCCAGCAACTTGTGCACTTTATAGATCATTGTATTTCACCCACCTGATTGGACCCTGATCAAGAGCTGTTATACTAGACTAGAGAAATCACACTAACCAATCAATCAACCAAACACACAACCTCTATCTGAACTCCAATACAATCAGCAAATCTCACGGTCATCAATGTCTTGATGCAATCACATACTAAGTGTGTGTGTGTGTCTGTGTCCGTGTCCAGTAGTCAAAAGCGATAAGTAGATCTTCTCTCGGGGGACATTTCTAATGGTGGCGCTAGTGACTATATCTGTCTTGAGTCAATCACATACTGTGTGTGTATCCGCTCCAAGGTAGTTGGGTCCAGTCCAGAATAAACCAGTGTTGTTTGTTTACCTACTAACCCACTAACTCTGCATGTCTCACGACCAGACCTTCTAGTAGTAACGTCTTACATGGATTTAGTAGCGGTCTTAAACAGGTGTGTGTGAGATTCTGTTTGGAGACATTCCTCTTTCTGCACAAATAAATATTTTATTCACCTTAAACCCTGTACTTGAATCTCCTCGATTTGCGTTTAGTATTACGATGGTGGTGGTGACGATGACAACCCCAAAAGCAATTTCTCTAAACCTTGGCACAAACAGAAGGGTAGTATTACATGACAACTACACTCCTCTGATGTTATTACATTTACATTTGAGTCATTTAGCAGACGCTCTTGTCCAGAGCGACTTACAGTTAGTGAATAAAAAAAAATATATATACTGGCCCCCCGTGGGAATCGAACCCACAACCCTGGCGTTGCAAACGCCATGCTCTATCAACTGAGCTACATCCCTGCTGGCCATTCCCTCCCCTACCCTGGACAACGCTGGGCCAATTGTGCGCCGCCCATGAGTCTCCCGGTCACAGCCAGCTGCGACAGAGCCTGGATTCAAACCAGGATCTCTAGTGGCACAGTTAGCACTGCAATGCAGTGCCTTAGACCACTGCGCCACTCAGGAGTATTATGTTATTATGTTAAGATGTTACCTTGTTAATGTGTGTCAACATATGAGATTGCTGTGAGAATCCCTTCAAAAAACCTGTTGTCGTCACGCTGTATTTATATCAACTTTCGGTCTTTATGAAGATGTTTTACTTGATAGTCTGTAAAGATAATTAATCTTACATCTGTCTATCATTTTAGATTAGATGGTATGTATTATTTTTGTTCTGAATGGATATGTTGTTATATAATTATATATATTATTATTTTACTTGGATGTATAAGATGTCTTTGTAATATAACATAATATAACGTGGGCGGCAGGTCGGCTAGCAGTTAAGAGCATTGGGCCAGTAACCGAAAGGTCGCTGGTTCGAATGCCCGAGCTGACTAGGTGAAAAATCTACCGATGTGCCCTTGAGCAAGACACTTAACCCTAATTGCTCCTGTAAATCGCTCTGGATAAGAGCATCTGCTAAATGACTAACATGTAAAGTTGTAAAAAGTTTACAGCTTTACAATATTCCATTGTAAAGTTGTACCTCAAAATACTCAAGGGTATTGATGTGTTTATCTGAAATGTTTTTTTTTCCTCTGGTTGTGTTTCAGAGGATGAGGTGGTTGGCGTTAGTGTAAGCGTTCGAGACAGAGAAGATGTTGTTCAAATCTGGAATGGAAATGCCTTTTTTGCTAACGAAGCAAACATCCTAGGAAGGATCTATGAACTTCTTCCACAGATAACTTTTAAAGCAGTATTTTATAAGCGTGAGTACTTTCAATCTTGTATGACATTCACATGCCATGATAAAATCAAGAGTAGAGTATGTGCTAATCCACTCCATCAAAACAACGTTACTCTTCCCTTACTGTTGTCATGAGAACCTTGATAATAGTGTCTGATGAATGAGCCTATTCTATTTCAGCACATGAGGAGCACCATGCCTTTGAAGGAGGTCGCCCAAGACATTAGCACGCTTTGCACATTTGACACTTTGTTGTTTTTGGTCTGAGCTCTACTGTCTTTTGTAAATGTGATATATAATTACTTCAGTTTGGGCAGACAGAACATTTTAGGATGACTTATACATGTTCTTTAGTGTTTGTTTTTTATACAAAGATATTTAGCTAAACCTGAAGAGGACAATAGATTCTAGAATGGAGAGTATTTTTCTCAAGCCAGTATTATTCATAAAGTTTTTTTCGAAAATGTTGCACATTCTACATTTGTTTGTTTGTTGGAAGTTTTTGTTGTTTTTGGCGGGTGGGGGAAAGAAAGCTGTTAACTTTTACTAGTTGTTAAATTTGTTAAATGACACCCAACTTTTTTACAAAAACAAAATCACCACTCTGTGTGGTACCAAACAAATGCTATAGTTTAGTTTACCCTGAGTGATTTGGTAATAGCAGTGGGTCATTGTACAAACACACTCAATTGTTGTTTCTGAAATGAACAACAGGCCTTTTTCGTTATTACTGTAATGAACAGGATTGCTATTACAGTATCTTCAGTTCACTAATGCTGATTTCTAAGTTCTGCACTCGTTTATTATAAGCTACATAGTTGTGGTTTAATCAAGGAATATAGACAACGCCTAGATGGGGATCAGTTTTCTGAAGAAGAGATATTGCACATATCAATTGTTACCCTTACCTGACTGAAGCATATCATTAACAGAGAAAAGTTTATAATTTTTTTTTTTTTTTTCCACTTTTGTGTTTATTATATTTCTATCATGAATATTATTCTCATTTAAGTCCTACAAACTTTAAAAGAAAACCATTTTGAAATTTAAAAAACGGTATGATGTGTGAACCATGCTTTGGGTTGAATGAGTACTTATCTTTACCAAAGACCTTTCTAACCCTCTCTCTCTGTCACGTGCATGCGCATGTTCCCTGCCAAGCTTTATACATTTTGTAACCTGTTGGTTGTAATTGACATCAGATAAGGTCTCTGTAGTTTATTGATGACATTCTCTGTGACTCAGGTCATCCATGTTCAAACACTAAGCACATTAATTAGTGACGTTTTTGTAGAAATAATAATCTTACATAATGTACTGGACTTTCATGCAGTTTTTACTATAGCTCCCAGTCAAGTTGAGATCTCAACCTGTTGTTAATCTCTGGAATGGTGCCTTGTGTTTTCCTTGGATTTCAGTCTTGAAAGTTGTTTATTTTTAACATATTGAACCAGTGAAAATGTAAAATCAATATTGTTGCCGATAGATTTTGAAATGTTGAAAAAATAAAATGCAAAACAATCATGCCTTGTTATCTATGGGCTCTGGTGCTGTTTTTGTTTGTTTTTTAATCAGGTGGCTGTGATGTCATCAAATGCACAGTCCAGTGTACACTGTTGATCCGAGTTGGCTAACGGTCGATGCTGCGTGAGTGTATGTCAATCGCTTCTTATCTTGTTCAACAAGACGTGCCAAATAGCTAGCTAGTAGCCCAGGCTACACATTGATGCCCCGGTAAGTGAAATGTAGTATGCTTGCTACCCTAGACACATGTATTTGTTATTGAATAGCTAATGCCATTTATTCATCTCGTTAGCCATGTTAGCTAGCCTAGCCAGCTAATAGCCAACATAGGCGGTAAACAACATCAACCCCGTTGTTTAGCTAACATTACCTCGCTCTCTGGCCTAACTAGCTACAATACTGCTAGCTAAATAACATTAACGCTATACAACAACGTTGAAGTGGCTTTTTAACAGCTAGCTAACTAAGCAATATTTCTCACGTTCTCTTGGATATCTAGCTAGCTAGCTAGCGATAGCTAATTCCAATGTTGTTCGGTAACTTGCCTATACGACTGCAAGCCGTTCGCTACATTTACTTGCTAGCTAATGTTAGCTTCAGCATTTGGGAGTTCGCTTTAATACCAAATGTGTATCTATAAATAAACCAAGATAGACCAAAGCCTGTCGTTACAAAATGGGAACAAGTTAGTCATAGTGGGCAGAACAATAAGGAGGTGGGCAGAGCCAAGCACGAGGTAGCAAGATCCCATTGGCGCGTTCTAGCATATATTGGCATATTTCAGTTAGGGAACGCCTACTCTGTGAAGTGCGCGTGTGCAATAACTCAGTTCGCCTTTGCACTCCTTCTCAGTAACGCAATTTTTTGAAACTTTAGCAAAGGGTAAAGTCTACACTGTTGGTAGCAGATTATAGTTTGGGAACAGAAAACTATTGAGATCAAAGGTTTCATCAATGAGAAAATGTGCAGAATTTCGGCCAAAATCCATCTCGTTCCATCTTCTACCACTGCTGGCCACTTGGCTTCCTCTCACTACCATATTTGGTAGTGAGTGGAAACGCCAAGCTGACGCTTCACATTTTTACATCCGGTGAAATATCTGTTTAATTGTTCTATCTGTGTTAATACTAGCTAGCAAGGTACATTTCCATGGTCCGTAGTTATGTTGTTGTAGCTATTTTGCTATGTTAGCTAGATAACGTTAGCTAAAACGATGCATTTCCCAGTGGTGGAAAAAGTACCCAATTGTCATACTTAAGTAAAAGTAAAGATACCTTAATAGAACATTTTACATTTTAGTCATTTAGCAGACGCTCTTATCCAGAGCGACTTACAGTTAGAAATGACTCAAGTAAAAGTGAAATTCACCCAGTAAAATACAACTTGAGTAAAAGTCTAAAAGTATTAGGTTTTAAATATACTTAAGTATCAAAAGTAAATGTAATTGCTAAAATATACTTAAGTATCAAAAGTATAAATCATTTCAAATTCCTTATATTAGGCAAACCAGATGACACAATTGTCTTGTTTTTTTTATTTATTTACAGATAGCCAGGGGTACACTCCAACACTCAGACATAATTTAGAAACAAAACATTTGTGTTTAGTGAGTCCGCCAGATCAGAGGGAGTAGGGATGACCAGGGATGTTCTTTTGATAAGTGTGTGAATTGGACAATGTTCCTGTCCTGCTAAGCATTCAAAATGTAAGAGTACTTTTGGGTGTCATGAAAAATGTATGGAGTAAAAAGTAAAAAATTTTTTTATTTACGAATGTAGTGAAGTAAAAGTTGTCAATAATATAAATAGTAAAGTACAGATACCCCAAGAAAACGACATAAGTAGTACTTTAAATAAGTTTTACTTAAGTACATTACACCACTGGCATTTCCTTTTTTCTCACTGTGAAATGCCCAAAATGCCCCATTTCAACAACACTAGCAACTTGTAGCCTCTTCAGACCAATTGACTGTCCCTCTTCTGTTCCCATGTGTTTGGCAATCTGATTCATGGATGGATGTGGCCCCCATACACTGGATGAATGTGGCTCCCACACATACTATACCCATAGCGTCTTGTGCCAAACCTGGAGCTTACTTACAACAACTGCAAACAGTTTTCAGTAGGGAAGGTGTATGTCTGGCAGGTGTGCTGTCATTAAAGCATTCACATTAGATCTAATGCGCTCAAACGTTATCACCCCAGGCTGTTTTGTAGATTTTTGCATGGTTTCCATATGGGGTGCAATGTAGTTATTTAGGCTAGATGTTGCTACAGAATTGTTAACAGGATATGCGATTCTCTATACCCTTTACAGGTTCGCTAATTGAAAGCCTCATACAAGGAATTTTAACTAACCTGTTATTGATGATACTTTCTTCATTCTCGATTCTGTGAAAAAATATTATCTTAGAAATGTCCAGTGAAAGCTCAGAAAGATATTAAATCCATGTTTTGCACCTAGTGATGAGTTCCCTCGCCATTTTAGCTGCCAGACATCTTGCATTTCCCAACATCTTTACAGGAAGTAGTTGTATTTTTTTGGGTGGAATTTTCATTGTTGGACATAAAAGCCTATTCCCCCTCAGGAGACTGAAAATATTTGGCATGGGTCCTCAGATCCTCAAAAAGTTATACAGCTGCACCATCGAGAGTATCCTGACTGGTTGCATCACCGCCTGGTATGACAACTGCTCGGCCTCCGACCGCAAGGCACTACAGAGGGTAGTGCGTTCGGCCCAGTACATCACTGGGGCCAAGCTTCCTGCTGTCCAGGACCTCTATACCAGGCGGTGTCAGAGGAAAGCCCTAAAAATTGTCAAAGACTCCAGCCACCCTAGTCATAGACTGTTCTCTCTGCTACCGCACGGCAAGCGGTACCGGAGCGCCAAGTCTAGGTCCAAAAGGCTTCTTCTAACCCCAAGCCATAAGACTCCTGAACAGCTAATCATGGCTACCCAGACTATTTTCCCCCGCAGATTGGCTCTGTACCAGTACCCCCTGTAAATAGCCTCCCTACTGTTATTTTATTTTACTGCTGCTTTAATGATTTTTTATCTTTATTTTTTACTTATCTATTTTTTACTTGACACTTTTTTATTTTCTTAAAACTGCATTGTTGGTTAAGGGCTTGTAAATAAGCATTTCACTGTAAGGTATACATACACCTGTTGTATTCGGGGGATGTGGCAAATAAACATTTTATTTGAAAAGACTGTAAAAAACACCAAGTGACTTTAATGTAAGAAATCTGTTCCCCCAAGCATTCCCACAGATAATAGAGATATATGTGATTGTATACAAACGCAAGCAAGGTTTGAAATGATGTTTTAGTCAAACATTATATCTGTTTGGGCTTCTTGTGGTCAATTTGCTGTCTACAAATTATTTGTAATTATGTTCCGGCCACGACCATCCGCTCAAGTTAAAAATCGGCCCGTGGCTGAATCTAGTTGAGGATTCCTGGCATACAGCATATTATGATCATGTAGGGCAGGGGTGTCAAACGTACGGCCCGTGGGCCGGATCAGGCCCGCAAACGGGTTTAATCCGGCCCGCGATATGATTATGAAAAAAAAAATATATATATATATATTTTTTTTAAGTATAAAAATGTGCTGCAATTTTTCTATAAAATAAACTGCTGTTCCAATTGCGTCCACTGGATGGCGCAATAGCAATTGTGTTAAGCAAGCAAACTGTTTATACCAGGGCAGAGCAAGTAGGTCAAGCACGTGCAGCCAATGAGCTACTTTGTTTTGCCCGCGATATTTATTACGGCTTCTACTTTTAACATTATGTGCTTTGGCACCCTCATTGCCCCAATATGTCTCTGTCAAAAAAGAGAAAAGTGGACGCAGAGTGCAGAGTGTTCCAAGAAAAATGGTCATCCTATTTAATCACGGAATTGAATTGGAAAGCTGTATGTTTGGTGTGTTCAGAGCATGTTGCAGTGCTGAAAGAATATAACCTTCGTCGCCACTATGTGAGTCTTCATGCCGACAAATATGACAACTTTCAAGGACAGCGGAGATGAGAGAAGGTGAATGAACTGTTGGCGGGTCTGAAGAAACAGCAGTCTGTGTTTACTCACAGCCAAGACATCAGTGACGCTGCAGTGAAAGCTAGCTACCTCATTGCTAATGAAATCGCAGTGGCTTCAAAAGCATTTAGTGAGGGTGAATTTGTAAAAACATGCATGATGAAGGCAGCGGAGATTGTGTGCCTTGAAAAGCGGCAGGCTTTTGCAAATATCAGCCTGACAAGAAACACCGTTGCAGACAGGATTTCCGATCTTTCAGTGGATTTGGACAGCCAGTTGAAGCAAAAAGTAAAGTCATTTATTGCGTTTTCGGTTGCAATTGATGAAAGCACGGACATTACAGATGTTGCACAACTGGCCATTTTTTCATCCGCGGAGTTGATGACACATTGACCGTCACCGAGGAGTTCGTGGAGTTGGTGCCGATGACAGATACAACGACAGCAGCTGATATTTTTACCGCACTCGTCGGCGCGCTGGACAGGGTCGGAGTGGACTGGTCCCGCGCTGTCAGCCTGGCTACAGATGGTGCGCCCTCAATGATCGGGAAAAAAGCAGGCGTTGTGACAAATTTCAGAGAGAAAGTGCAATCTGCAAATGGAGGACGTGATTTTTTGACTTTTCACTGTATTTTGCACCAGGAGGCTTTGTGTTGCAAGTCATTAAAGATGGATAACGTCATGAAGGTGGTCATCCAAACTGTTAATTTCATCCAATCCAGAAGCCTGAATCACCGTCAGTTTGACAGCCTTCTCAGAGAGAAAGACCACATCAATGGCCTGCCATACCACACTGAGGTAAGATGGTTAAGCCGAGGTGCTGTGCTGAGGCGTTTCTTTGATTTACGAGAAGAAATTGAACAGTTCATGGAAGAAAAGGGCAAACCAGTGTTAGAATTTCATTCCGCAGAATGGATGCCGGACCTTGCATTTATGGTGGATGTTACAGAGCACCTGAATAACTTGAACAAACAGCTGCAAGGGCGCAACAAAGTTGTCACGCAGTATTATGACAGCATATGTTCTTTCAAGTTGAAGCTGTCATTGTGGGAGACGCAACTTGCCGGTGGTGATGCAGCTCACTTCCCCTGTCTGAAAAATGTGTGCGCGACCCAACATGTGGCAGACATGAAGCGGTTCAAAGATAAAATAACTGGACTGTTACGGGAGTTTGAGCAACGCTTTCAGATTTATGTTTATATGTTTTTATGTTGATGTGCTATTGTTTTTAATTGATTTTATTTTATTTGTATATTTAACCTATTCTTGACTCTGTGGTTCTTGCACTTGTTTGGGGAACAGGATTTCATTATTTTTATCTACATTTCTGCCTGAGAAATGACACCCTGATATAGTTCTGTGATCTGTGAAACAGTTCTGTTAATCACTGAGGCATTGTGTGTTTGTGTGTTCTTTTTCTTTAGAATTTTCAAATAAACTTGACGTGTTTTATGATTAATAGTGATGTTGTGCTTGTACTATTTTGGACACACTGTCCTCAGGCTCCAGCTTTATGTTGTATGTTGATCGTATTAAAACAAAGAAAACAATCTGAAGTTGTTGTTTTTAAGTTATATATATACCATGATTTTTCCGGTCCGGCCCACTTGGGAATAGATTTTCCTCCATGTGGCCCCTGAGCTAAAATGAGTTTGACACCCCTGATGTATGGGGTGGCTGCGCGCGTGCGTGCGTATGTCTACACTTTGTGTAACAGTTAGCAATTATGCTAATGATTACCTTCTGGTGATTCTATCAAATCAAATTTTATTTGCCACATGCGCCGAATACAACATGTGTAGACCTTACAGTGAAATGCTTACTTACCTTAACCAACAATGCAGTGTTAAGTAAAAAATAGATAAGTAAGAATAAAAATAACAAATAATTAAAGAGCAGCAGTAAAATAAAATAACAGCAGGGAGGCTATATACAGGAGGTACCATTACAGAGTCAATGTGCGGGGGCACCGGTTAGTTGAGGTAATTGAGGTAATATGTACATGTGGGTAGAGTTAAAATGACTATGCATAGATAATAAACAGAGTAGCAGCAGCGTAAAAGAGGGGATGGGGTGGGGTGGGGGGGACAATGCAAATAGTCCGGGTAGCCATGATTAGCTGTTCAGGAGTCTTATGGCTTGGGGTTAGAAGCTGTTAAGAAGCCTTTTGTTCATCCCCAAAAAGTTGCAAGGAACCGAACATTAGACAATGCAATGTGCATTCAATAAAATTAACAGAATGTAGGTATTCCTTGTGTATGCCTGGACAGACAGGAAGTGCAGTGAGCATATGGTTTGCCCTTGTTCTATTTGCAGAGTGTTTGTGTTTATGCAAACAGGCGTACTCCTGCATATTAAACCACAGCACCTGCTCATGTGTGCACAGTCCACATAGGCTACACACTTCTTACGCTACTGCTTTGAACTCAGCTGAACACCTACAGCGCTGTGCTTTTTCTGCCAAGGTAAGGATGGTGTACTATTGTAAAGATGTGCAGAACAGTTGGTTTGATATTTTGACTAGAACCCAGTCTCTCGTTGGTGATTATTCTACTAATTTGACCTTTCTATAGTCCGCTTTGTTCTAATTCTAAATGTGTTTTTTCTTTCTCATTCATCTCTATTACAAATCTATGGTAGGCTAGGCTATATCTAAGAGTCAGGATTGAAATGCATTGTTGCATTGTGGTATAGACTAGGCCTATATTTTCAGTTCTGACAGTTGAAGTAGGAATTCAGAGGATTCCCTTCTACCCTAAAAACCTAATGTTTGTGTTGCTTGTCTGCTGTGCTAGCAGCACTGGATCCGACATTGGGAATGTTGAAGGGCATTAGGATGAAACACTGTTTTGTGTGCAAATACACCCTTGGCTGCTGTAGCCTAAAATAAACAGAAATCAGTTTCGCTGTGGAATGAAAAGGCTAGTAGGTACTGAAGTCAGACTTGATAGGCAATGCAATATTGTATCTTACCTTAGCCTATGTTTCAGCTTGCTCTAGAAGTAGATAGGCATAAATACATCCATAAAATGTATCTACGTGTTTAGCTAAGTGGACATTTGAATCTTCCCAGCTCAAAGAGCTTGTTTGTCTGTTGCTGTTTATTTTAGCTGTGTTGCTTTTGAGTCGAACGCTCCCCCAACTGTACACACAGCCCTTCCTTTAATGAAGTATTGTGCTGCCTGCCAGATCTGTTTATCACACCACCTGGTTAATGTTAAATTGCTACAGAAGGACGACATGTTTACTCATTAACACCGACCCAGGACCCCTTTGTTTACCGTAGCCATGGCAGCAATCAGCTACTCAACAAATATCTCCGGTTTATGTTGGCAAGAGGGGAAACTGTTGATTAGTTAAAGCAGAGTAACATCTTGTCTTTCTCTGTTGATCTGAAACATTATTGATGATGTTTCTAGGATAAGATAGGAGATTGTCTTCAGTAAGAAACTGCATGTGGGCATTTCCATCTAAAAGGACCCATGAGCACCAACATGTGAAGTTCATAGGAGCATGTCAAATGAAAGCTAAGAGTCTATATTTTTTAGAAATGATTTGCCTTCTGTAAATTTAAGAAACATTTCCTTGTGCCTTGTAATTCCGTTACCAAAAACCCATATCTTGTAAGATATTTTCTAATTTCTCTCCCTCATGAGGGAGGATAATGAACGTTCACAGAAGTAACAAGTAAAGGTAGACCTACCTATTAGTTATAGAGTTTTTATTTATTTGTTTATGAATTATTTAAGTGTTTAAAACCCATAATTATGTTACCAAATCAGTAACGTAATTACTGCAATTGAATTGGCTACAATCGGAAATCATATTCATCAACCACAGTTGGGTCACCTGCAACTGTCCTTCCTTCCACTGGCATACTGTTCAGCTCATAACTTTTGTCTGGTGGTCAAAGCAAGACTGTGAAAACAGTCTGGTCCTTTCTGTCTGTCTGTGTCTGTCTGTCTGTCTTTCAGTTAATGTCACCTCTTCCTGCTTTTACTACCACCTAACCACTTTCCATTTAGTGTAACAAGCCTCCTCACCCACTGACCACCGACCGAAACCAGAGATCAATGGACAGCACAGTACAGAATAGTAGAGCACACTAGAGTGGAGTACAATATCATGTACTGAACATATCTACTTTACTGTGCTATACTGTGATTTCCAAACTTGTAAATCATAGACATCTGATTGTTTCAGATGTGGTCTTGTTTGGGGGTGGCGCTCATTACAAGAATAGCTAGTGTGTAGCATAATACCCAAATATGCAAACAAAGGATATTGCATATTTCTACTTTTATGTACCTATTCAGGATACATCACCATGAAGAGAATGGAAATTCATATCCATAATTATGCATTTCTGTATAATACAGGTCAGGATGTAATTCTGTTACTGTAATTCCATTACCGGATGTAAACCCACTTCCCCTACTGTAGTTCAATAACACTTTTTTTTCTCCTAATTCAAGGTGTCATGTAGCTGACACCCCATTCTTTCTGCAAACTTCTTTGAATCTTAATTCAGAGCAGATATTTAAGAGTTTTTGGAGAACGTGGTCGCAATAAAAAACGGAGGGAGATTTTACCGTAATTCTGTTACCAAACTTTGCATCTGCACAGTTTGTCGAGTAAATGTGTTTTTGTGAAATTTCGGTGTAAATTGTTCAAAGTTGTCCGTGTGCATGTAGTTGTATGGTTTGTTAAACTTTGAAATCAATGGTTTCTATTTGACATACATTTTAAATGGAAAAATCTGAGTCCAAGCTTAATTCCGTTAGTGTGGAATTGCCCATGTTCATATGTAATTGTTCAAAAATAAATGTAGCCTAAGATCAGTATTGTGGAAAGTCATTGTCAATTTACATGAAGTTTACAGCTGCTCTCTCTTGTTCTGTTCTCAGGTCAGTGAGTCCAGATGCATGAGTCTGGGTCAGAACAGACAGCCTGCACCAGTCCAGCCAATCAGACAGAGAATGGGGACAGTGCTGAGAAGGATGATTGGCTGAGCACTCAGACTCCAACTCCAGAGGGTTCTGGGGCTGACAGCCAGCAGCAAAACCAGGTTACTAAACTTGCTTACTTTCCACCACTAAAGCATACAGTGCCTTGCAAAAGTATTCATCCCCCTATACTTTTTCCTATTTTGTTGCATTACAACCTGTAATTTAAATGGATTTTTATTTGGATTTCATGTAATGGACATACACAAAATAGTCCAAATTGGTGAAGTGAAATGAAAAAAATAACTTGTTTCAAAAAATTCAAAAAAATCTATAACGGAAAAGTGGTGCGTGCATATGTATTCACCCCCTTTGCTATGAAGCCCCTAAATAAGATCTGGTGCAACCAATTACCTTCAGACATCACATAATTAGTTAAATAAAGTCTACCTGTGTGCAATCTAAGTGTCACATGATCTGTCACATGATCTCAGTGTATATATACACCTGTTCTGGAAGGCCCCAGAGTCTGCAACACCACTAAGCAAGGGGCACCACCAAGCAAGCGGCATCATGAAGACCAAGGAGCTCTCCAAACAGGTCAGGGACAAAGTTGTGGAGAAGTACAGATCAGGGTTGGGTTATAAAAAAATATCAGAAACTTTGAACATCCCACGGAGCACCATTTAAATCCGTTATTAAAAAATGGAAAGAATATGGCACCACAACAAACCTGCCAAGAGAGGGCTGCCCACCAAAACTCACGGACCAGGCAAGGAGGGCATTAATCAGAGAGGCAACAAAGAGACCAAAGATAACCCTGAAGGAGCTGCAAAGCTCCACAGCGGGGATTGGAGTATATGTCCATAGGACCACTTTAAGCCGTACACTGGGCTTTACGGAAGAGTGGCCAGAAAAAAGCCATTGCTTCAAGAAAAGAATAAGCAAACAGATTTGGTGTTCGCTAAAAGTTATGTGGGAGACTCCCCAAACATATGGAAGAAGGTACTCTGGTCAGATGAGACAAAAATTGAGCTTTTTGGCCATCAAGGAAAACGCTATGTCTGGCGCAAACCCAACACCTCTCATCACCCCGAGAACACCATCCCAACAGTAAAGCATGGTGGTGGCAGCATCATGCTGTGGGGATGTTTTTCATCGGCAGGGACTGGGAAACTGGTCAGAATTAAAGGAATGATGGTGGCTAAATACAGGGAAATTCTTGAGGGAAACCTGTTTCAGTCTTCCAGAGATTTGAGACTGGGACGGAGGTTCACCTTCCAGCAGGACAATGACCCTAAGCATACTGCTAAAGCAACACTTGAGTAGTTTAAGGGGAAACATTTACATGTCTTGGAATGGCCTAGTCAAAGCCCAGACCTCAATCCAATTGAGAATCTGTGGTATGACTTAAAGATTGCTGTACACCAGCGGAACCCATCCAACTTGAAGGAGCTGGAGCAGTTTTGCCTTGAAGAATGGGCAAAAATCCCAGTGGCTAGATGTGCCAAGCTTATAGAGACATACCCCAAGAGACTTGCAGCTGTATTTTCTGCAAAAGGTGGCTCTACAAAGTATTGACTTTGGGGGTGGTGAATAGTAATGCATACTCAAGTTTTATTTATCTTATTTCTTATTTGTTTCGCACAAAAAAATATTTTGCATCTTCAAAGTGGTAGGCATGTTGTGTAAATCAAATGACACACCCCCCCCCCCCCCCCCCCAAAAAAAAAAAAATCAATTTTAATTCCAGGTTGTAAGGCAACAAAAGAGGAAAAATGCCAAGGGGGGTGAATACTTCCGCAAGCCACTGTATGGGTTCTCAAATTGTCGCATCTTGCATATTTTTTTGTTTGTATGATGAGTAGGATAGCTCTCACTGAGCTCTGAGCCAACTGTAGTGCTGCAGACAGAGACTGCTGAGGCACTTTGTGATTGGTGGAGAAGGATAGATCTGTGTTATTGGTTCGTTTTTTGTTTATGCACACAAGCACTCTGTCAGACTGCCAGACAGTGTAATGTTGTGCCCGGCTTACTACTGTCTTTCTCCACCCTGCGTCTCTAACTGCCAAAGACGACCACTGTAAATGGAGTTGGTCAGGTTTGTCAGCTTGATTATTGTATTTTCAGCAACTAGCCTATTTCTACATGTAGGTCGATAATACTTGTTTGTTTACTGGTATATACATTGGTAGAATTTGCTGGATGAACATTTTAAATGTTAAAATGAAACACTGTTCATCACTTATATCTGTGAAAACTAAGGACCTAGCTAGTAATCATGACTGTGTTAGTCAAAGTGAATTTGCATGTGTCACTACTACCTAACATATTTATAATGTTATTGTACTGTATAATCAAAGGTAATTTACTTAAATCATATGATAATGTCCTTAGCTCTTTATAGCCTCTTTCAAGCATTTTCCTTACTCTGGTCTTGTAGTTTATATTCCATTGATGGTTTGTCTGTGTGTGCGTGTCTGTTGCCTTTGGTTACATACAGTTAGTTAAATCTCAGTTCAGGGCGAGATTAAGTATGGGTCTGTTTATATGAAAAGTGTGATTATATCTTCAGGGTTTCAGAAAAGGCATGTAACTTGTCTTTGGCAACATTAGTCATAGAACACATACCTCTCTTTGAGGACTAGCCCAGTGTTTACACTGTCCTTCATGGGTATGTGGGTTTCTGTCACATCGACAATAACAAAAGATGTTTGGACTGGTCTGCCCTGACGTCATGGAAACAAGGATTAGGTGCAGGATTAGGTTTTGTTGATGTTGTGCATACAAAAGATGACCCATTCCCATACCATATACAGCGACTAACTGGCTGGCTGAATTTTTTTTCTTCTGTAAGTCCAGCTGATACAATTATTTTACCTTCTGCTTTAAGTCATGTAAGCCAAGGGTCTAATATCCTCAGTATCTGCTCCAGGGTATAGGTCTATAAGGACCTTGGTGAGCACTGAGCACCAGAGCATGTTTAGTCAGTGTGGGAAAGGGCCATCTCCTTGGCAATCCACTGTTATTGTTATCTTAGAGCGTCTGTGACATCCTCCAGCAGTTTGTTTACTGGAACCCAAACAGAGCCAGCCTTAGTGGGAACTGTTTGTTGTTCAGACCTTAATTAAGGCCCTATTCCCACTACGAGATATGAAGGAGAGTCTGAGGAGTGCGGTGGCGAAAGAGAATTCAACTTTTAAATTCACATTACATCCTTGTCTTACCTTTCGTTGTGGCTGGTAACGCAACATTCTTGGTCCATAGCTCAAATTTAATGTAAATATCACAGTAGCCACTAGCCAGTAAGCACAAACTATTCAACAATGACAAAAGTTTCTTCTAAAACATATTACATAATTGAATAATGCAACCAAACCATATTACACTCTTGAATAATGCAACAGTTCACAAGCATGTATGTGCAGACAATTAAAGGGTTTATTTTCTCGTCTGTAGGCTACACTCTTTAGCTTCAAGACAAAAGCACAGAGTTGGGTATAACAGCATGTCTTCATCAAGTAACGTTAGCCTATCAAAAATGAATGATTAATCCACTCATATTAATATAAAAGTATAGTATGCCTACCTTACAACATTACAACAAACCAGGCTTCATTTTGATCAATATCATGCAAATTATGTAATGTGGTAAAAGCGAATTGTGACTGAAAACATGAGTATAACTGAATTCCCCACGACAAGATGTTTTATATGGAAGCCATACCCGCCACCAATAAAAAAGAAAAAAAGAAAAACCCTCATGATTTGTCAACGTGCACAATTAGTCTGTGCTTCAGTCTGACCAACTACAGCCTACTGACAATAACTACAGCAGCAGGTAGCCAGAGAAACCTATGCGCTCTGATCCCGTCTGGGCTTGGCCAAGGAAAACCTAATGTCATGTTTTTATAGCCTAAGCATTTTTCCTATTTTGTTGCCTTACAACCTGGAATTAAAATGGATTTTTTGGGGGGGTTTGTATCATTTGATTTACACAACATGCCTACCACTTTGAAGATGCAAAATATATTTTTTTGTGAAACAAACAAGAAATAAGATCAAAAATAAAAAACTTGAGTGTGCATAACTATTCACCACCCCCAAAGTCAATACTTTGTAGAGCCACCATTTGCAGCAATTACAGCTGCAAGTCTCTTGGGGTATATCTCTATAAGCTTGGCACATCAAGCCACTGGGATTTTTGCCCATTCTTCAAGGCAAAACTGCTCCAGGTCCTTCAAGTTGGATGGGTTCCGCTGGTGTACAGCAATCTTTAAATCATACCACAGATTCTCAATTGGATTGAGGTCTGGGCTTTGACTAGGCCATTCCAAGACATTTAAATGTTTCCCCTTAAACCACTCAAGTGTTGCTTTAGCAGTATGCTTGGGTTCATTGTCCTGCAGGAAAGTGAACTTCCATGCCAGTCTCAAATCTCTGGAAGACTGAAACAGGTTTCCCTCAAGAATTTCTCTGTATTTAGCGCCATCCATCATTCCTTTAATTCTGACCAGTTTCCCAGTCCCTGCCGATGAAAAACATCCCCACAGCATGATGCTGCCACGACCATGCTTCACTTTGGGGATGGTGTTCTCGGGTTGATGCGGTGTTGGGTTTGCGCCAGACATAGTGTTTTCCTTGATGGCCATAAAGCTCAATTTTAGTCTCATCTGACCAGAGTACCTTCTTCCATATGTTTGGGAAGTCTCCCACATGCCTTTTGGCAAACACCAAACGTATTTGCTTTTTTTTTTCTTGAAGCAATGGCTTTTTTCTGGCCACTCTTTCGTAAAGCCCAGCTCTGTGGGCTTAAAGTGGTCCAGATACTCCAATCTCCGCTGTGGAGCTTTGCAGCTCCTTCAGGGTTATCTTTGGTCTCTTTGTTGCCTCTCTGATTAATGTCCTCCTTGCCTGTTCCGTGAGTTTTGGTGGGCGGCCCTCTCTTGGCAGGTTTGTTGTGGTGCCATATTCTTTCAATTTTTTAATAATGGATTTAATGGTGCTCCATGGGATGTTTAAAGTTTCTGATATTTTTTTATAACCCAACCCTGATCTGTACTTCTCCACAACTTTGTCCCTGACCTGTTTGGAGAGCTCCTTGGTCTTCATGATGCCGCTTGCTTGGTGGTGCCCCTTTCTTAGTGGTGTTGCAGACTCTGGGGCCTTTCAGAACAGGTGTATATATACTGAGATCATGTGACAGGTGGACTTTATTTAACTAATTATGTGACTTCTGAAGGTAATTTGTTGCAGCAGATCTTATTTAGGGGCTTCATAGCAAAGGGGGTGAATACATACAGTTGAAGTCTGAAGTTTACATACACTTAGGTTGGAGTCATTAAAACTTGTTTTTCAACCACTCTACAAATGTCTTGTTAACAAACTATAGTTTTGGCAAGTCGGTTAGGACATATACTTTGTGCATGACACAAGTAATTTTTCCAACAATAGTTTAGACAGATTATTTTACTTATAATTCACTGTATCACAATTCCAGTGGGTCAGAAGTTTACATACACTAAGTTGACTGTGCCTTTAAACAGCTTGGAAAATTCCAGAAAATGATGTCATGGCTTTAGAAGCTTCTGATTGGCTAATTTACATCATTTGAGTCAATTGGAGGTGTACCTGTGGATGTATTTCAAGGCCTACCTTCAAACTCAGTGCTTCGTTGCTTGACATCATGGCAAAATCAAAAGAAATCAGCCAAGACGAAAAGTGCAAATCAATCCCAGAGCAACAGCAAAGGACCTTGTGAAGATGCTGGAGGAAACCGGTACAAAAGTATCTATATCCACAGTAAAACGAGTCCTATATCGACATAACCTGAAAGGCCGCTCAGCAAGGAAGAAGCCACTGCTCCAAAACCGCCATAAAAAAGCCAGACTACGGTTTGCAACTGCACATGGGGACAAAGATTCGCACTGCTTTGCTTTATCTTGGCCAGGTCGCAGTTGTAAATGAGAACTTGTTCTCAACTGGCTTACCTGGTTAAATAAAGGTGAAATAAAAAAATACAACATTTACTTTTTGGAGAAATGTCCTCTGGTCTGATGACATTTTTTTTTTTGAACTGTTTGGCCATAATGACCATCGTTATGTTTGGAGGAAAAAGGGGGTTGCTTGCAAGCCGAAGAACACCATCCCAACCGTGAAGCACTGGGGTGGCAGCATCATGCTGTGGGGGTGCTTTGCTGCAGGAGGGACTGGTGCACTTCACAAAATAGATGGCATCATGGCACCAGCTCTGTCAGGAGGAATGGGCCAAAATTCACCCAACGTATTGTGGGAAGCTTGTGGAAGGCTACCCAAAACATTTCACCCAAGTTAAACAATTTAAAGGCAATGCTACCAAATACTAATTGAGTGTATGTAAACTTATGACCCACTGGGAATGTGATGAAAGAAATAAAAGCTGAAATAAATCATTCTCTCTACTATTATTCTGACATTTCACATTCTTAAAATAAAGTGGTGATCCTAACTGACCTAAGACAGGGAATCTTTACTAGGATTAAATGTCAGGAATTGTGAAAAACTGAGTTTAAATGTATTTGGCTAAGGTGTATGTAAACTTCTGACTTCAACTGTATGCACGCACCACTTTTCAGTTATTCATTTTGTAGAATTTATTTTAAACAAGTTATTTTTTTCATTTCACTTCACCAATTGAGACTATTTTGTGTATGTCCGTTACATGAAATCCAAATAAAAAATCAATTTAAATGACAGGTTGTAATGCAACAAAATAGGAAAAACGCCAAGGGGGATGAATACTTTTGCAAGGCACTGTATTTATAGCCTAAAATAGGCCCATTTATTTGTGTTCTGAGAAAATATGATTTTTTTAATTCACACTTCGGGTGGCTAGGCTACCTACACTATACATACAAAAGTAAAGGACACCCCTTCAAATTAGTGGATTCGGCTGTTTCAGCAACACCCGTTGCTGACAGGTGTATAAAATCAAGCACACAATTATGCAATCTCCATAGACAAACATTGGCAGTAGAATGGCCTTACTGAAGACCATCATAGGATGCCACCTTTTAAATGCTGTTATTGTGAAGTGGAAACGTCTAGGAGCAACAACGGCTCAGCCGCGAAGTGGTAGGCCACACAAGTTCACAGAACGATTTTGGAATTAGATGTTCGATGAGCAGGTGTCCACATACTTTTGGTCAAGTAGTGTAATTATTGACTGGAATTAATCAATCAATACAATAGTGCTGACATTCTGTATGAGTATTTACATGATGCAACCAGCCATACAGCGAGCTCAGCCCTGTTAGTTTTTGTCCAATCGCAGTTGGTTTCTCTTTGTCTGTGTAAAGGGTTTCATCCTCCCTAGGGCCAGGAGTTTTTCCAGGAGTTTTTATTGTATTTTTTTTTACCATAAGACTTGATTAGGAAAATAATCTTGTCCCTTCATAGCCCACCCCCACCACCACTCTGGGACCTGTGAAACCTCTGAAATCACCACACACTGTTACAAATGAAGAAACGTATCCTATTTGTATGATCTACATTTTTGTGCACCTAATTTGATAGAAATAAGCTTTTTGTGCGTATGGAACATTTCTGGGATTTTTATTTTTATTTTAGGTCATGAAACATGGGACCAACACTTTACATGTTGCGTTTATATTTTTGTTCAGTATATTTATTCGGCTTTAATTATGTTTACTGTAAACATCCCCAGAGCTGTGGTTGTTAGGCAGAGAGGGAGTGGTAATTGTTGGATGCCTAGCAAAGGTTGTTCATATGTTTTGGTTTTTTAAATGTAAAAATCACTTATGGTGTTGTTGGTGTTTTAGTTTTTCTGTTATTTTCAGGCAAGGCTAGGTCTAATCTGTGCTCATTTTTATTTGTTTGTTGGCAGGTTCCAGTCTCAGTGTCTATGATGACACCTCCGGTGGAGACTCCTCAGCAGACACTAAAGCAGCAGCAGGTCCTCAATCCACAGCAGATCCAGGCCCTGCTCCAGCAGCAGAAAGCACTCATGTTACACCAGGTAATCACATCATATTCGCCACACAAATCTACATGTAAATGCTTTTTTGTGTACTTTAAAAAAATTGTAATATTAGCAGCATTTTTATTTATTTCTCTATACATTTACATTTTAGTCATTTAGCAGACGCTCTTATCCAGAGCGACTTACAGTTAGTGAATACATATTTTTTTATACTGGCCCCCCGTGGGAATCGAACCCACAACCCTGGCGTTGCAAACGCCATGCTCTATCAACTGAGCTACATCCCTGCCGGCCATTCCCTCCCCTACCCTGGACAACGCTGGGCCAGTTGTGCGCCACCCATGAGTCTCCCGGTCGCGGCCGGCTGCGACACTATACATCACCTATTTTTCATGTGGATCTTCCAGTGAGATGCTGATGGCTTGAACGTGACCGCTGTATTTCCTCATGACCTTTCATTAACTCAACAGTTTTTTTTCTACAGCAACACATACAGGATCTCTGCCAGAAACAGCAGGACCAGTTCAATGCCCAGCTCCTACAGCAGAAGCATGCTGAGAAGTCAGGCCAAGAGGTAGGCCGGCCTACATATTTTTTGTCATATGTCTGTATTTTGCTGTCAACCAAATGTTCCAAAGCGCTACATAAAATCTATGTATTATTATAGTATTGCTGAGGCCTTGTGTATCTCCTCCCAACTCCCCTACAGCAGCTAGCTGCTCAACACATGGCCATCCAGCAGCAGCTCTTGCAGGTCCAACAGCAGCACCTCCTCAGCCTCCAGAGACAGGGTCTCCTGTCTGTCTTGCCCTCCATGAGCCCCTCTGCAGCTCAGGGTAAGTGTCTATCCCCCAGCCCCAACCATAATCTAAACTACCTTCCCCTTCTGCCCCGTGCAGATACTTGGTTGTTCTCCGCCATGGCTGCAAGGCAGCTATATTTGTTGTTGTTCTCCACCATGGCTGCTTGCAGCTTCATTTGTTTAGGTTGTTGTTGGGCAAAAATATTTTAGTTATTCGGCTGAATTAATACATGTACTTGTGTATTTCTCCTAGGTTTAATGAAAGGGTGTGAGAATGGCACCAGCCTGCCCTCTGGTGGTGAGAATCCGGCCACTCTTCAAAAGAACCTGCTCCACAGCCAGCAGTCCACCACCAATGGGAATCATGCATCACAGCCCCTAAAGAAGAAAGACGGGTGATTAGTCATTTTGGAACAGTGTTTATTCATCTGTCCAACCTCTTCCTGAAGTGTAACAGTGACGTATGTATGTCTCTCTGCAGTGGTCCTGTGGATGATCACACACAAAACACTCACCCTCTCTATGGACACGGCATGTGCAAATGGTCTGGCTGTGAGGCTGTCTTTGGAGACTTTCAGGCTTTTCTCAAGTGAGTTTCTCCTCGTCTATTCAATCTGTCAGAGAGACAAATGAAGATCAATCTCTCTTACTGTATTAGCAACACTGGGTTCCAGTGGCTTCTTGAGTGTTTTCTTGACTTATCATGAAATGTGTTCATCCCCCAGGCATCTGAACAGTGAACATACACTGGATGACAAGAGTACAGCACAGTGTCGAGTGCAGATGCAGGTTGTTCAGCAGCTGGAACTGCAGGTACAGTAGACAAGACATTTGCTTAAATAAAGCACATTCATTGTACAGTTCCTTCTCACTGTAATCAACTTCACATGACATCTTTGTTGTTTCATCTTCTCCTCAATTAAGTTGAAAAAAGACAAAGAGCGTCTGCAAGCCATGATGTCTCACCTCAAATCCTCTGAGCAAAAGTCAAAACCAGCAACACCAACGGTAAGTCTCTGGAGTATTAAAGTGGGCATGTCTTAAATTCAAATCAGGTTACCAATAGAGCAAGATGAGTATTAGCCACAATGGTAAAATAATCACCTTCAAGTTTGCATTCCCTACAGCTGTGTTCTCTATATTGTGTTTTAAATTCTTCTTAACTTTTTATTTTCTAGGTGAATCTTGTGCCCAACGTCTCCTTCTCCCAGGTGACGTTTCCCAAGGTGCGTCCTTCCATGAGCTTGTCTCAAAGTGCCACTGCTCCTTCCACCCCCCTGACACCACCCCCAACCTCATCCTCTATCATCCCACCCCACACCCTGCTCACCGTGAGCCCTGGAAGGAGATGCTACTCAGACAGCAAGACCATGAAATACAGCAAGACCATGAATCAAGGTGAGTTAGCAGTGTGATGCTGAACCTAATGAGGGTAGTAGGGTACATATTTCTATGAACTACTCTTATGCCTGTGTGGTTTATCTACTTGAATGGCTTTAATCATTGATTTTAATAAAACACATTTTTGAAATTCCTTTTTTAACAGATATTGTTCAGAATAAAGAGTTCTACGTCAGTACAGAAGCTAGACCGCCATTTACATACGCAGCCCTAATAAGACAGGTAAGGAATCTTTTAATTTTATTTCACCCTGGTTTACCCTCCAATGAGTAAATGTTAGCTATACCGTAAGGAGTGAGTCTATTGTTTGCTAATTGAATGTTTATTTGTTTGCATTTTTCCAGGCAATATTTGAATCACCCTATAAGCAGCTGACACTAAATGAAATCTACAATTGGTTCACACGAACATTTGCCTATTTTAGACGCAACGCAGCAACATGGAAGGTATTTCGTTGTCTATTTAAGTGGTCATTTAAATGTATATGAATACCCTTGTCCTATGTTTAGTTGCTATGCCATATTCATTACGTTTTTTAGGAATGTTACATGGCATTAGATCAACTTGTATGGAATAATGTTCTGCTTTCTGACTCTGCAGAACGCAGTGAGACACAACCTCAGCCTCCACAAGTGTTTTGTGCGAGTGGAGAATGTAAAAGGAGCTGTGTGGACAGTTGATGAGATGGAGTTCCAGAGGAGAAGGCCACAGAAGCCTGCTGGTGAAGGGTATGTTTAACATGCTTGGTCTCTCCAGTATAGCTCCCTTTATGTATCTGTTTCTCAACATGTTAAACCTGTATTTCTGTTGGTATTATACTAATAGAAACCATGTGACTTAAGTTCGGGCATGATCTGATTTATCTCTAGAGAAACTGCAGTGCAATGTGCGCATTGAGTTCACAGAAAAAATCAGAACTAAATGGAATTCAAATAATTGAACTGACATTGGTCAATTAGTTGATTAAAAATTTTAAAATAACTGACATTTCGGTTAATCGCTCCGAACTAGTAACTAAAATAAAAATGTATTGTGAGGATATGTTGTCCCTTCATTTCCCAGTATGTGTGTTGAATAGATTAACGTGGGTTTATTTGTAACTGCAGGTCTCTCAAGAGGGAGAACACTGGCCATGGTCACAGCTCCGCTTTCCTTACTCCTAAGGTAAATGCTCTTTTGACTACTTTGAGTGCTAAACCCAGGACGGACGTTAGGGGGCCTGGCCACCATACTGTAACTCCTTCCCGTCCAAATGAAATATTGATCATTTATTTGACAGAGAAGCCTGCCGACAGAAAGACTCATTCATCTCAGATAAAGCATCCGAGCGAAACAGTTCCCCTCTGTCCTCAGTATGTGTAAAGCATGTATCTGATGCTGTCTGGACAAAAATAATATGGCATGTCATACTATTTCTGCCCAGACAGCATCAGATACATGGTCTACATATAGTAAGACAGAGGGGCGCTGTTTCGCTCGCTCGGATGCTTTCTCCGGTGAGAGTTTCAGCAGAAAGGAAGAGGTGACACGAGGGCTCACTCTCGCCACAAAACCTGTCCAGAATAAGCCCAATGCGTTTCTATGGGCATAATATGCAGACCTAAGCTTGTCGCCTGCCTTCCTGCCTTTGGGACAACGACTCTCATTAGCTTCTTAAAAAATTAAAAATATCTGTGCATTTTCAAATCACAAGTGCCTATGCCTATTTGGGAAGCACGGAATTTGGTCAGCGCACGTGGCAATAAGCCTGGCTGATTATTCAGTTGCGGCTGTCAGTGAAAAGCATCTAAAATATGTGTGAAGAAGAGAATGTGTCTTGAGTATAATTTTAAAATGTTGACAAGAAGAAGGGGAGAGGTGTTTGGCGAAGATATGGCGCGTCTCTCCAGAATGCATGCACTCAGGTCTCCAGAATGCGCTCAGCTGTCTTCCACCAGTTATTGCGCTTTCATTGTGTGAATTGTTTGCGTTTTGTTTATTTTGATCAATTCTCCATTTACACACAGTAACAGTCAAAAGTTTAGACACACCTACTCCATTCCAGGGTTTTTCTTTATTTTTACTATTTTCTACATTGTAGAATAATAGTGAAGACATCAAAACTATGAAATAACACATATGGAATCATGTAGTAACCAAAAAAGTGTTAAACAAATCAAAATATATTTTATATTTCAGATTTTTCTAAGTAGCCACCCTTTGCCTTGTTAACAACTTTGCACACTTGGCATTCTCTCAACCAGCTTCATGAGATAGTCACCAGGAATGGATTTCAATTAACAGGTGTGCCTTGTTAAATGTTAATTAATGCATTTGAGGCAATCCGTTGTGATGTGACAAGGTAGGGGTGGTATACAGAAGATTGCCCTATTTGGTAAAAGACCAAGTCCAAGAACAGCTCAAATAAGAAAAGAGAAATGACAGTCCATCATTACTTTAAGACATGAAGGTCAGTCAATCCAGAAAATTAAGAACTTTTAAAGTTTCTTCAAGTGCAGTCGCAAAAACCATCTATCTCTATGATGAAACTGGCGCTCATGAGGACCGCCCAGGAAAGGAAGACCCAGAGTTACCTCTGCTGCATGGTCAAATTGCTGCAAAGAAACCACTACTAAAAGACACCAATAAGAAGAAGAGACTTGCTTGGGCCAAGAAGCACGAGCAATGGACATTAGACAGGTGGAAATCTGTCCTTTGGTCTGATGAGTCCAAATTTGAGATTTTTGGTTCCAACCGCCGTATCTTTGTGAGACGCAGAGTAGGTGAACAGATGATCTCCGCATGTGTGGTTCCCACCGTGAAGCATGGAGGAGGAGGTGTGGTGGTGTGGGGTGCTTTGCTGGTGACACTGTCGTGATTTATTTAGAATTCAAGGCACATTTAACCAGCATGGCTACCACAGCATTCTGCAGCGATACGCCATCCCATCTGGTTTGCGCTTAGTGGGACTATCATTGGTTTTTCAACAGGACAATGACCCAAAACATACCTCCAGGCTGTGTAAGGGCTATTTGACAAAGAAAGAGAGTGATGGAGTGCTGCATCAGATGACCTGGCCTCCACAATCACCCGATCTCAACCCAATTGAGATGGTTTGGGATGAGTTGGACCGCAGAGTGAAGGAAAAGCAGCCAACAAGTGCTCAGTATATGTGGGAACTCCTTCAAGACTGTGGGAAAAGTATTCCTCATGAAGCTGATTGAGAGAATGCCAAAAGTGTGCAAAGCTGTCATCAAGGCAAAGGGTGGCTACTTTGAAGAATCTCAAATATAAAATATATTTTGATTTGTTTAACACTTTTTTTTGGTTACTACATGATTACATATGTGTTATTTCATAGTTTTGATGTCTTCACCATTATTCTACAATGTAGAAAATAGTAAAAATAAAGAAAAACCCTTTGACTGGTACTGTATGTCAACAATAGGCCTAGTAAATGTACCGTTAATCCCTATAATTTGGTTACATACGTTTCTGTTAATGCATGTATTAATTAGTCATTTACTGTTCTCATTCTTGGAGTGGAAACGTTGTTTGCAGAGTTCACAATCTGCTACACAAGTTTTGGTTTATTTCATAACCATAATTTTTTTTCAGTGTCTTTTGTTTGGAATGCTCCATATGAGTGATGAGCATGTCTGGTTTCTCTGTCCTGATAACTTTGAGGGAGCGCACGCCTGAGCACGCATAGGAGTAGGCCTACTTGGCCTGCTGCTTGCAAATTTAGGAAAGTGCCCATTTGATTTCTGATTGTCTGACATCCACCACTAATAATAAGCTGAGCTTCTCAGTAATTTTTTCTTCACCTCACACAGTAAGGCAACAAAGTCTGTTTTTTTTATTTGTTATTTTTAACAGTTCCTCACAGTATTTGAAAAATCTTTCCAACTCTCCCAGCCTCAATAATCACCAAGCCTCGGTGTGAAAGAGCAAAAATATAATGATCTGATGATCCCATATATCCAGTGGAAACGTCATTTAAAGAAACTGCTGTCTGTTCCGAGCTCACTGGCGCGGGAAACTCTGAGGGCCCGAAATAGGCTAATTAGATAGAAAGGGAGGCAGACAGGCGGAGTAGAGATGAATGCGATTGAAAGTACCTGAATTTTAATCAGGATGTTTTTATTTGTCAACTTTAGGCCTATGTATTTTACTTAGTTGTAGCCCTACTACTGCATTGGCCTGTAGGCTATTTCTGAGTTCCATGCGCTAATTTATTTAGCCGCCAATGGACCACGGTGTATGAATGTGACCAGAGGCTGGTGTTCTCGCATTAGTTGAATTTTAACTTTTAGACTTTTGTCATTTTAATTCAGATTTTTATGATTAACCACGTGACAATGGTTTTGAGAAACGAAAACGTTATTATCAAAAATGCGCATATAAAAATATTCTTAACTAGCACCCAGATCGGTAGAAATGGTATGATAAATTGTTAGCTTCCGCAAACTTCAAACTCACGAGCTGCCTATGGTCTTTAACACCCACCCATAAAAATTGTGCATGCGCGTGCGCACATAGGAGGTCCCGTAAACATATTTTTTATTTTTAAAGGTGCCCGCTTATGGAAATCAAATGCCCGTCCAACTGATTCGTTTTGGCACCGGCCCTCGATAAACCTGTATTTTTCTCATTATTCTATAAACCTATGGCGTGTGTCTTTTAAGGCTGAATGGCTAGACAGTAGTATACCTCCATTCAATCCAGCCTCCTATAGGAGCTCCCTCTCTGTTCTCTGCCCTATATGTTCCAGCAGGAGGAGATAAATGCAGCTCTCTGGTATGGGAATGGATCCTACAGTGACAGCAGTGAAGAGCAGTACCCTATGCACCCACTGTGAGTTCCATCACCATTAAAAACTAGATTTGGTAGAGGAAGAAATGGTTCTCAGTTTCAGAAGTCATCATAAATACCCTTTTTCCTTATCATGACTTTTCTTCTCAGCGTAAAAGAAGAGCTAATGGACGAGGAGGCGTATGAGAATGTGCCCCATGACTGTTCAGAGACTGAGAGCTCTGATGAGCACAGCTCAGATGTGGATGAAGAAGGCGGTAGCCCAGAGAGACCCAACCTGCAGCTGGCTCATGTGCCTTCGCAGTGAAAGAGGGACTGTATTCCAACCTGTCAATCTCCACTGCAAGACTCCCACATTGGACAACTATGAAATATACCAAATGAATATAGAACTACTTCATATCAAGTGGAAAAACACACATTTTCTGTTGAGGAAATAAATGACTTTTATTTATTGAGGATATTTTGTCCTCACTGTTGTACTGGGTTTTATCCACCGGAGCTCATGTTGAAGACAAGAGCTGATGGCGGAAGCATTGTAACACCCCTTGTCCTCAAATAATGTACCCCAATCGGCTTATTGTGAGGCTGTACAACCAATGACGAAGCCCTATGGGGAGCTGGCTCAGTGATGCAGAGATTAATTTTATTTTCCTTCAAGAATGTGTATATCAATAACCAGAGCATTGGCAATATTTATGGACAGCACTTCCTGAAGATGAATGTTTGTTCTCTCCCCCCAATTAATTTTGACATGTGAGTACCAGACAACCACCAGATTGTAACCATCTGTTCTGTTTGACATGACATCCTTGAGAATTGGTTACTTTTAAAAGGGAGCTGTACACTGCCAAAAATATGATTTATGTGTAACCTATCTGTTGGGATATTATTATTTGTGTAGCCTACTAATGGTCTTTTTTTCCCCACTGTCCCAAACATGGCTTTTTGGACTTATTTAGCGTTGTATCAGACATTCCCATAGTTGTGCACTAAAAGCTGTCTCTAATAAATTCTGTATAAAAAGTGTGGTGAATGTCTGGTTTGAAGCATTCATTACTGTGTTTATGTGCAGGTTTTGAGTTATAACCTGAGTTTGTTTTAACAGTGTGGTAATGGCCATACTTCAGTGGTCAATATAATGTGGATATCTAATGGATGGCAGGCAATGGGAGGAAGATGCTAACTGTTTGGCAGGAGAAGGATCTACTGTAAATATACTCCCCTCATTCAGTTCAGACCACATCATCATCATCATCAACCGGCCTGGATGTGTGCACACTGCATAGAGATAAGTAAGTAGCCTATAGTGGCATCTATATAGGCTATCACAGTATGATCCTATCTGACTGACTAGACAGGTCGTCAGAGTGATAAAATATACAGTGAGAGAAAAAAGTATTTGATCCCCTGCTGATTTTGTACGTTTGCCCACTGACAAAGAAATGATCAGTCTATAATTTTAATGGTAGGTTTATTTGAACAGTGAGAGACAGAATAACAACAAAAAAATCCAGAAAAACGCATGTCAAAAAATGTTATAAATTGATTTGCATTTTAATGAGGGAAATAAGTACACTGCTCAAAACAATAAAGGGAACACTAAAATAACACATCCTAGATCTGAATGAATGAAATAATCTTATTAAATACTTTTTTTTTTTACATAGTTGAATGTGCTGACAACAAAATCACACAAAAATGATCAATGGAAATCAAATGTATCAACCCATGGAGGTCTGGATTCGGAGTCACCCTCAAAATTAAAGTGGAAAACCACACTACAGGCTGATCCAACTTTGATGTAATGTCCTTAAAACAAGTCAAAATGAGGCTCAGTAGTGTGTGTGGCCTCCACGTGCCTGTATGACCTCCCTACAACGCCTGGGCATGCTCCTGATGAGGTGGCGGATGGTCTCCTGAGGGATCTCCTCCCAGACCTGGACTAAAGCATCCGCCAACTCCTGGACAGTCTGTGGTGCAACGTGGCGTTGGTGGATGGAGCCACATGAGGACAATTCTAGACCTCATGTGGCTGGAGTGTGTCAGCAGTTCCTGCAAGAGGAAGGCATTGATGCTATGGACTGGCCCGCCAGCATTCAAAAGTGACCAAACATCAGTCCCAGATGTGCTCAATTGGATTCAGGTCTGGGGAACGGGCGGGCCAGTCCATAGCATCAATGCCTTCCTCTTGCAGGAACTGCTGACACACTCCAGCCACATGAGGTCTAGAATTGTCTTGCATTAGGAGGAACCCAGGGCCAACCGCACCAGCATATGGTCTCACAAGGGGTCTGAGGATCTCATCTCGGTACCTAATGGCAGTCAGGCTACCTCTGGCGAGCACATGGAGGGCTGTGCGGCCCCCCAAAGAAATGCCACCCCACACCATGACTGACCCACCGCCAAACCGGTCATGCTGGAGGATGTTGCAGGCAGCAGAACGTTCTCCACGGCGTCTCCAGACTCTGTCACGTCTGTCACATGTGCTCAGTGTGAACCTGCTTTCATCTGTGAAGAGCACAGGGCGCCAGTGGCGAATTTGCCAATCTTGGTGTTCTCTGGCAAATGCCAAACGTCCTGCACGGTGTTGGGCTGTAAGCACAACCCCCACCTGTGGACGTCGGGCCCTCATACCACCCTCATGGAGTCTGTTTCTGACCATTTGAGCAGACACATGCACATTTGTAGCCTGCTGGAGGTCATTTTGCAGGGCTCTGGCAGTGCTCCTCCTGCTCCTCCTTGCACAAAGGCGGAGGTAGCAGTCCTGCTGCTGGGTTGTTGCCCTCCTACAGCCTCCTCCACATCTCCTGATGTACTGGCCTGTCTCCTGGTAGCGCCTCCATGCTCTGGACACTACGCTGACAGACACAGCAAACCTTCTTGCCACAGCTCGCATTGATGTGCCATCCTGGATGAGCTGCACTACCTGAGCCACTTGTGTGGGTTGTAGACTCCGTCTCATGCTACCACTAGAGTGAAAGCACCGCCAGCATTCAAAAGTGACCAAAACATCAGCCAGGAAGCATAGGAACTGAGAAGTGGTCTGTGGTCTGTGGTCACCACCTGCAAAACCAGTCCTTTATTGGGGGTGTCTTGCTAATTGCCTATAATTTCCACCTGTTGTCTATTCCATTTGCACAACAGCATGTGAAATGTATTGTCAATCAGTGTTGCTTCCTAAGTGGACAGTTTGATTTCACAGAAGTGTGATTGACTTGGAGTTACATTGTGTTGTTTAAGTGTTCCCTTTATTTTTTTGAGCAGTGTATTTGACCCGTCTGCAAAACATGACTTAGTACTTGGTGGCAAAACCCTTGTTGGCAATCACAGAGGTCAGACGTTTCTTGTAGTTGGCCACCAGGTTTGCACACATCTCAGGAGGGATTTTGTCCCACTCCTCTTTGCAGATCTTCTTCAAGTCATTAAGGTTTCGAGGCTGACGTTTGGCAACTCGAACCTTCAGCTCCCTCCACAGATTTTCTATGGGATTAAGGTCTGGAGACTGGCTAGGCCACTCCAGGACCTTAATGTGCTTTTTCTTGAGCCACTCCTTTGTTGACTTGGCCGTGTGTTTTGGGTCATTGTCATGCTGGAATACCCATCCACGACCCATTTTCAATGCCCTGGCTGAGCGAAGGAGGTTCTCACCCAAGATTTGACGGTACATGGCCACGTCCATCGTCCCTTTGATGCGGTGAAGTTGTCCTGTCCCCTTAGCAGAAAAACACCCCCAAAGCATAATGTTTCCACCTCCATGTTTGACGGTGGGGATGGTGTTCTTGGGGTCATAGGCAGCATTCCTTCTCCAAACACGGCGAGTTGAGTTGATGCCAAAGAGATCCATTTTGGTCTCATCTGACAACAACACTTTCACCCAGTTCTCCTCTGAATCATTCAGATGTTCATTGGCAAACTTCAGACGGGCATGTAAATGTGCTTTCTTGAGCAGGGGGACCTTGCGGGCGCTGCAGGATTTCAGTCCTTCACGGCGTAGTGTGTTACCAATTGTTTTCTTGGTGACTATGGTCCCAGCTGCGTTGAGATCATTGACAAGATCCTCCCATGTAGTTCTGTAGCTGATTCCTCACCGTTCTCATGATCATTGCAACTCCACGAGGTGATATCTTGCATGGAACCCCAGGCCGAGGGAGATTGACAGTTATTTTGTGTTTCTTCCATTTGCGAATAATCGCACCAACTGTTGTCACCTTCTCACCAAATTGCTTGGCGATGGTCTTGTAGCCCATTCCAGCCTTGTGTAAGTCTACAATCTTGTCCCTGACATCCTTGGAGAGCTCTTTGGTCTTGGCCATGGTGGAGAGTTTGGAATCTGATTGATTGATTGCTTCTGTGGACAGGTGTCTTTTCTACAGGTCACAAACTGAGATTAGGAGCACTCCCTTTAAGAGTGTGCTCCTAATCTCAGCTCGTTACCTGTATAAAAGACACCTGGGAGCCGGAAATCTTTCTGATTGAGAGGGGGTCAAATACTTATTTCCCTCATTAAAATGCAAATAAATTTATAACATTTTTGACATGCGTTTTTCTGGATTTTGTTGTTGTTATTCTGTCTCTCACTGTTCAGATAAACCTACCATTAAAATTATAGTCTGATCAGTTCTTTGTCAGTGGGCAAACGTACAAAATCAGCAGGGGATCAAATACTTTTTCCCTCACTGTACTTACAATTGACCAAAGCTCATCCTGTCAAAACTGTCAAACCTTTTTGCGCTGCCTGGTTGGCTATGGCTCGGATCAATATGGGGGTGTGTCCTGTCCTGCACGTTTACAGAGCACTGTGATCCAAGCTGTGCTTCATCCACACAGGAGGATCCAGCAGATTTACAAGGATTGGATGGTTCTGTCCCTTTGTGGACAATAAATACTTTTTTTGTCAGCCTTCGTGAAGTTTTGTTTCAGGGAAAGTCCATTTTATCTATAATTAAGAATAAGTATCTTACCATAAGTATGCATACGTGAAAGGAATGGAATATGATTAGCACATATTATATAGGCGCATAGGTTATATTATTAGGTTGCATGGGCATGTGGTAATCTTATCAAAATCTTTAAATAATTTAATCTTCAGCTAAAAAGAGCAGGATTTTTAAAGATTGGTTATCTTCTATTTTTCTGGTTAGGGTCATCTTTGTATTTACTGGGTAATGGTAGTGCCAGGTATCATAGTGGGGAATATATCTCCATTGCTAAAGCAAAGCAAATGGTTCCATTCTACATTGACTGCTGCAGACTTGTATTCTGTAGGGGAGAGTGGGGTAAGTTGAGCCAAAGTGTTAGTTGAGCCACCCCTTGTTTCTAGGAAACCATACATAAAATGAATCATGTGACCAAATATTTAGGAAGAGTTCATTTCATGGTGTCTGTGAAGGAAGAAACCACATGGAAAAAGTGGTAAGCAATTTAGGTAAAAAAATATGATTTACACAAAGGCAAATTAATTTGTGTTCTAGGTTTCATGATGCTTGTACAGTATCTAAACCAAAGTAGAACGTTTTAAGATTGTTTTATACATCTCTAAGCTAGAATATAAGGTCCTAAAGCTAGAATGAAAGTGCTTCCTTGTAGCTGTGTGGACCATTATAGTCAAAATTGTATAAAAGCCCCATAGATATTAATTTAGAATTTAATTAGATCTACAAGGACATTTTATTGATCTGCCAGTATTTTCATTTAGAGATTCTGGTAAACTCTTTGTTTCCTTTCATGTGTTGTACCAATTATTATTGGATTATTCACCATGGCAAGGTTGGCTTTTGTGGACATCAGACTGTTTTCATTTGCAGGGATATTTGTGCGTTTTTGACCAAATAGCACATGTATGCTCTGTTTCATCATTAAACTTCTAGACTGAGCTTCTGTGTCTGTCATCACTCTTTGCCCAGAGTGCAGTCCGGTATCCGTTTACTCCCAGTGGCCTATCCACACATTAAAGAGCACCAGACTCTGTAAAAAAATTGTTTTGCCTTGGGGTAAATTGAGCCAACGGCCACCATACCCCATACAAATAACACTGAACAAAAATATAAATGCGACATGTAAAGTGTTGGTCCCATGTTTCATGAGCTGAAATAAAAGATCCCAGAAATTTTCCATACTCACAAAAAGCGTATTTCTCTCAAATTGTGTGCACAAATTTGTTTACATCCCTGTTAGTGAGCGTTTCTCCTTTGCCAAGATAGTCCATCCACCTGACAGGTGTGGCATATCAAGAAGCTGATTAAAAAGCATGATCATTACACTGGTGCACCTTGTGCTGGGGACATTGAAAGGCCACTCTAAAATGTGCAGTTTTGTCACACAACACAATGCCACAGACGTCTCAAGTTTTGAAGAAGCGTGCAATTGGCATGCTGACTGTAGGAATGTCCACCAATTGCCACCTCCAATGTCGTTTCAGAGAATTTGGTAATACGTCCAACCGGCCTCACAACTGCAGGGCGAGCGGTTTGCTGACTTCAACGTTGTGAACAGAATGCCACATGGTGGCGGTGGTGTTATGGTATGGGCAGGCATAAGGTATGGACAACGAACACAATTGCATTTCATTGATTGCAATTTGAATGCACAGAGATACTGAGATGAGATCCTGAGGTCCATTGATGTGCTATTCATCGGCCACCATCACCTCATGTTTCAGCATGATAATGCACAGCCCCATGTCGCAAGGATCTGTACACAATTTCTGGAAGCTGAAAGTGTCCCAGTTCTTCCACGGCCTGCATACTCACCAGACATGTCACCCATTGAGCATGTTTTAACTGTATGTAAATTGCCTTAATATTACTGGACTCCAAGAAGAGTAGTAGTTGCCTTGGCAACAGCTAATGGGAATACATAATACAATGGATTTCCTTCCAAAATGACAGAGCCAACTGTATCCCATTCAGTAAATGTTGTGCACTGACATGACGAGTCTGATAGTGGTACGAGCCAACAAACAGAGTTCAGTCTGGTGCAAGTGAATGGGGCATGGAACAGACAGACTGGTGCACAGTCTCAGAAGGAGGGATGGTTATCAGCTGCTAAAATGTGAGTAGCATTTACATGTATTTTTCTTGTGGAACAAATTGAAGGATTTATCACATCTAGTCATAAGCATGCCAAAATTATGACCTTGCTAAACAGCAGTGTAAAAGAAGGGCAGTATACTTCTGTTTCCAAATCCTAGGAAACCGTAAATGAGTTAATTCATTTGATTAGTGTTCATTTAAACTATATTTGTTAGTTTAGAAGAGGGCCTATTTTAATCTTATAAGATGTTAAATTTTTGTTGACTCAATGTGGATCAGCAGTCCTTTTCATAGAGCCATTACTTGGTTTACACACAGTGATCCAATGCCACAACCTGCTGGATGATGTGAACGACACACTGCTGTGTGGCCATATAGAGGACCAGGAGGAGCTCAAGGCCTTCAGAAGCAACACCCAGTGCATCAACGGCTTCATTGTCATCGATGAGACAGTCAATCAGCTCTATGGCTCCCAGGTCACCAGGTACTTTGATGCCAGAAATATTCTGTATAAGATCCTTCCACTGCCCCCACAGAGGAGAACAGGTCCATTAAATGTTCTCTATAGGATCCTCCCACTGCCCACTACAGAGGAGACCAAGTCCATGGAGCTCGTGACCAGGATTCTGGAGGAGGTCCACAAGTTTGGCATAGACAGGCGCTCTGAGCCCCTCATTGCTATTGGAGGAGGGGTGTGTCTGGATGTGGTGGGCCTAGCTGTTTCTCTCTACCGGAGACGAACCCCCTATATCCACGTCCCAACCACCCTGCTCTTCTACATTGATGCAAGTGTGGGGGCTAAAACTGGAGTCAACTCTGCCAATGGAAAGAACAAGCTGGGGAGTTATATTACATTTGACATTTTAGTCATTTAGCAGACGCTCTTATCCAGAGCAACTTACAGTTAGTGAGTGCATACATTTTCATACTGGCCCCCCGTGGGAAACGAACCCACAACCCTGGCGTTGCATGCGCCATGCTCTACCAACTGAGCTACAGGGGACTATATATCCCCCGGTTGCAACGTTTTTAGACTGTACTTTCATTTAAACTGTTCCTTGCTGGCAGGTTTATATTGGGATGGCAGAAATGTTCAAGGTACTCATCACAGTATGCATGTGGGTTGAATATGTGACAGCAATACAAACTGAACATACAGTGGGGGAAAAAAGTATTTAGTCAGCCACCAATTGTGCAAGTTCTCCCACTTAAAAAGATGAGAGGCCTGTAATTTTCATCATAGGTACACGTCAAATATGACAGACAAATTGAGAAAAGAAAATCGAGAAAATCACATTGTAGGATTTTTAATGAATTTATTTGCAAATTATGGTGGAAAATAAGTATTTGGTCACCTACAAACAAGCAAGATTTCTGGCTCTCACAGACCTGTAACTTCTTCTTTAAGAGGCTCCTCTGTCCTCCACTCGTTACCTGTATTAATGGCACCTGTTTGAACTTGTTATCAGTATAAAAGACACCTGTCCACAACCTCAAACAGTCACACTCCAAACTCCACTTTGGCCAAGACCAAAGAGCTGTCAAAGGACACCAGAAACAAAATTGTAGACCTGCACCAGGCTGGGAAGACTGAATCTGCAATAGGTAAGCAGCTTGGTTTGAAGAAATCAACTGTGGGAGCAATTATTAGGAAATGGAAGACATACAAGACCACTGATAATCTCCCTCGATCTGGGGCTCCACGCAAGATCTCACCCCGTGGGGTCAAAATGATCACAAGAACGGTGAGCAAAAATCCCAGAACCACACGGGGGGACCTAGTGAATGACCTGCAGAGAGCTGGGACCAAAGTAACAAAGCCTACCATCAGTAACACACTACGCCGCCAGGGACTCAAATCCTGCAGTGCCAGACGTGTCCCCCTGCTTAAGCCAGTACATGTCCAGGCCCGTCTGAAGTTTGCTAGAGTGCATTTGGATGATCCAGAAGAGGATTGGGAGAATGTCATATGGTCAGATGAAACCAAAATAGAACTTTTTGGTAAAAACTCAACTCGTCGTGTTTGGAGGACAAAGAATGCTGAGTTGCATCCAAAGAACACCATACCTACTGTGAAGCATGGGGGTGGAAACATCATGCTTTGGGGGTGGAAACATCATGCTTTGGGGCTGTTTTTCTGCAAAGGGACCAGGACGACTGATCCGTGTAAAGGAAAGAATGAATGGGGCCATGTATCATGAGATTTTGAGTGAAAACCTCCTTCCATCAGCAAGGGCATTGAAGATGAAACGTGGCTGGGTCTTTCAGCATGACAATGATCCCAAACACACCGCCCGGGCAACGAAGGAGTGGCTTCGTAAGAAGCATTTCAAGGTCCTGGAGTGGCCTAGCCAGTCTCCAGATCTCAACCCCATAGAAAATCTTTGGAGGGAGTTGAAAGTCCGTGTTGCCCAGCGACAGCCCCAAAACATCACTGCTCTAGAGGAGATCTGCATGGAGGAATGGGCCAAAATACCAGCAACAGTGTGTGAAAACCTTGTGAAGACTTACAGAAAACGTTTGACCTGTGTCATTGCCAACAAAGGGTATATAACAAAGTATTGAGAAACTTTTGTTATTGACCAAATACTTATTTTCCACCATAATTTGCAAATAAATTCATCAAAAATCCTACAATGTGATTTTCAGGATTTGATGTGTACCTATGATGAAAATTACAGGCCTCTCTCATCTTTTTAAGTGGGAGAACTTGCACAATTGGTGGCTGACTAAATACTTTTTTCCCCCACTGTATCATCTTTCTAAAACGACTGAGACTGATCTGTGCATTTCGAGACCTATCTGGAAAACGGGACACCCCAGTTGTTTTGGACAACCATCCCTTAACAGCAAGGGGTGGTTGTATTTGTTTGCTGTCTATTACATGTCTATTACACTCTTTACTAATCACGATTACAAATTAACAAATGTTAATGAAGAAAGTTGAGCACTTTTTACAAGCCTAAACCACCCCGTTGATAGTGTCTTACTTACATTGTGTTTCCAAACCCTGTATGGAGCTAATAAATCAGCTATGTCCATCATCCTTTGTGTTCCAGATGGCCCTGATGAAACACAGGGGCCTGTTTGAGCTCCTGGAGACTGTAGGCGGGGACCTGCTGGACTCCAGCTTTCAGTCCTGTGACCAGAAGGCCAGTGGCTGCTGTGACCTGGAGGATGCTGGCTCTACGTCCCCATGCATTGCCATAGAAACCATCCAACCTGTGGGAGGATGACCTGGACAGACTGGTGGACTTTGGCCACCTAGTCAGACCTGAGCTACAAATGGTAAAAAGTTTATCACTGAGTTAATAGTAGAGTGAATGATAAAAAAGGTGTATGGAGGGGATATGAAAGGATGGAGAATAAGGCATCAGGGAAGGTGTGAATGATGAGATATATTTTTGACAAGTAAAGAGACAATTTGGCAAATATGCATACAGTATAACTTTACCTTTGCAGAAAGTGCTGCCTGTGCTGCTCCACGGGGAGGCGGTGAACATCAACATGTCCTTCATGGTGTACGTGGCTGCCAGAAAGGGCTCCAGACGGAAGAGGAGAAGGCCCGGATCAGCCGCTGCATGGTGGGGCTGGAGCTGCCTTTGTGGCACCAGGGCTGCACTCTGGCCCTGGTGCAGAAGTCTCTGAGTGAACAACTTAAACACCCTGAGGATGCCTCTTCACACAGGACTGTGCTGTGCAGGTCTGGACATCTTTCCTTCAAAAGGGCAGTCTGCTGTTGCTACATCAATTTTTGGACATACAGTGCATTCGGAAAGTATTCAGACCCCTTCACTTTTTGTTACTTTACAGCCTAATTCTAAACTGTATTAAATTGTTGTTTTTCCCTCATCAATTTACACACAATACCTCATAATGACAAAGCAAAAACAGGTTTTTAGAAATGTTGGCAGATGTATTAAAAATAAAAAATGGAAATATCACATTTACCTAAGTATTCAGACCCTTTACTCAGTACTTTGTTGAAGCACCTTTGGCAGCAATTACAGCCTCGAGTCTTCTTGGCTATGACACTACAAGCTTGGCACACCTGTATTTGGGGAGTTTCTCCCATTTTTCTCTGCAGATCCTCTCAAGCTCTGTCATCTAATTTCAGGTCTCTCCAGAGATGTTTGATCAGGTTCAAGTCCGGGCTCTGGGTGGGCCAATCAAGGACATTCAGAGACTTGTCCCAATGCTACTCCTGCATTGTCTTGACTGTGTGCTTAGGGTCGTTGTCCTGTTGGAAGGTGAACCTTCGCCCCAGTCTGAGGTCTTGAGTGCTCTGGAGCAGGTTTTCATCAAAGATCTCTCTGTACTTTGCTCCGTTCATCTTTCCCTCGATCCTGACTAGTCTCCCTGTCCCTGCCGCTGAAAAACATCCCCACAGCATGATGCTGCCAGCACCATGCTTCACCGTAGGGATGGTGCCAGGTTTCCTCCAGAGTTCAATCTTGGTTTCATCAGACCAGAGAATCTTGTTTCTCATGGTCTGAGAGTCTTTAGGTGCCTTTTGGCAAACTCCAAGCGGGCTGTCATGTGCCTTTTACTGAGGAGTAGCTTCCGTCTGGCCACTCTACCAAAAAGGCCTGATTGGTGGAGTGCTGCAGAGATGGTTGTCCTTCTGGAAGGTTCTCCCATCTCCACAGAGGAACTCTAGAGCTCTGTCAGAGTGACCATCAGGTTCTTGGTCACCTCCCTAACTAAGGCCCTTCTCCCCCGATTGCTCAGTTTGGCCAGGCAGCCAGCTCTAGGAAGAGTCTTGGTAGTTCCAAACTTCTTCCATTTAAGAATGATGGAGGCCACTGTGTTCTTGGGGCCCTTCAGTGCTGCAGAAATATTTTGGTACCCTTCCCCAGATTTGTGGCTCGACACAATCCTGTCTCGGAGCTCTACGGACAATTCCTTTGACCTCATGGCTTGGTTTTTGCTCTGACATGCACTGTCAACTGTGGAACCTTATATAGACAGGTGTGTGCCTTTCCAAATCATGTCCAATCAATTGTATATACCACAGGTGGACTCCAATCAAGTTGTAGAAACATCTCAAGGATGATCAATGGAAACAGGATGCACCTGAGCTCAATTTCAAGTCTCATAGCAAAGGGTCTGAATACGTATGTAAATAAGATATTTTTGTTTTTCTAAAAACCTGTTTTCACATTGTCATTATGGGTTATTGTGTGTAGATTGAGGAAAATGTTTTATTTCAACCATTTTAAAATAAGGCTGTAACGTAACAAAATGTGGAAAAAGTCAAGGGGTGTGAATACTTTCCGAAGGCACTGTATAAATTAATGATATGTACCTATTGATTATTGAGGAATATAACTTATAAATGCCTCATGAGCTAAATTCAACTGTCGTACTCCATCAGAACCCAAAATATAAGCTTGTTTTACTCCTATGCTAGTAAAGAAAGTAAATATAAACAAACAGCCTCAAAACATGGTTAAAACAATACTTTTAATATCATGGATGGTCTGTCCTTGCATCCATAGCTCCGTCTATGAATTTGAGAGTGGTTACATTTCTTCCACCCCATCCCTCAGCTTTTTACCGAAATAGGGGTGGGGAACCCACTTTGTTATTGTTTCAACTGCTGATTGCCGCTTTAAGAACACCATCAGACTGCCTTTTTAAATCAGAACATTCCTAGACATGACCATACAGTATGAGTTTTGGAATTCCCAAAACAAGTAAGTTGTAGCAGATGAGGATGTGTGAAACTCACTCCTCAGCCTGAAGTGTCCCTACTTTGTTGCAGAATAGCTAGCTTTTCGCATGGCAGACTGGTAAGACGCTTCGGGAGGACGGTCAAGTGTGCTAGCAAGGCAGAGGTCCTGGGTTCCAGCTTGAATCAGGAGGAAGTGGTACTCGCTAAGCAATCAACGTGACATCTGTTACAGATGGTGCCGTGACCTGGATCTGCAGTTGCGCTCAGCTCAACGCTGGAGTCGCTGTGGAGTAAGTTTGAGGGGTGAATGTAGCACATGGGGATTTGTGAAACTCACTCTTCAGCCTGAAGTGTCCCCACTTGTGTCACCAAATAGCTAGCTTTCTCTGTGGCGCGACTGGTAATACACTTCGGGAGGGCAGTTACTGTACATGTGCTAGCAAGGCAGAGGTCCTGTGTTCGAGCCTCGGTGTGAGACGAATTAGGAGGAAGTGGTTCTCGCTAAGCAAGCAATGTTACGTCCGCTACACAAGCACATTTACTGTACTGTCTCATCTCTACAGAAATCTTGCATGACATCAGTGATGATATTCTGTGTCAGGCTTTCAAGAGCTGGTGTGATGAACTTGGTTCTTCTTGACGGCTGGTGATAGTCTATTCTATACATCATCTATTCTCATTAACCTAAATGTATAGCGTATTATTTTCCCATCATTAGTGTTCAGAGACAATTAGTGAAATACTTTGATAAAAGGAAATCTTAGAAAGAAAAATACTCCTGCAATGACACAGGTACAAATATTTCATTTACTTTAATGTTTGTCACAATATATTTTTCACACTCAGTTCCAATGAATGGGCTTGACATCATTGATCCATCCCTAAACAGTGTATTAACATCACTACCTCCATCTCCCCTGGCAACAGAATCATTATCAGATTACAGTGGCAATCTCAGCAGAGGCAGAAGCGTCTATCTGAACCATGTAAATACAATTAATAGAACTGACAGCCAGGGGTGTTCAATGTGTGAACAAACATGGCTCTTTGAAATGTTAGTGGTATACCCAAACTGTGCCATGGTAACAAGTGGACCAATCAACATGTTTATTTACAAATAATGACCATCAATCAACTGTCACCATTGCTTTAAATGGAAATGTTAGTTCTATGCATTTAAGTTCTATGGTTGAAAACACCAATCTTAGTGCATAATGGTGTCATCAACACAAGTGGGTGACATTGTCTATGGAAATTATATGCTGATCTGTGTTCAGTCAAAGGGCAGTGAGTGAATGACAGGCCTGTGTCTAAATATTACCAGACAGACCTGGGTTCAGTTTGACCATGAGGGCCATTCTGCAGTGGTATGGTACTACAGAGAATGCCCCTATAAGTGTATTGACTTCTTTGTGCTTAGCTTTACGTGCAGTCTGATTGCCATTATTCTTAAATTATTGCTCTATAAATAAAGAAGAAACATCCGTACACAAAGGTACAACATCAAAAAACAACAATGTTAATTCCTTCTTTGCATATTTTAGACTTCACTTTGATTTTGGCAACACATTTTGGCAGTCAACACTGTGAGTTACGTTACATTCAGAAAAAGAATTGGTCTTAAAAAATAAGCTGAGAATTCCGTAAAACAATGTTTTGATTATTGCCCTCCGAGTGGAATTCTGACCTCAAAACAGAACTCTAGCATCAAAAACATCCCAAACAAAATGGATGACCTAGAGAGACATTTGGAGGCCCATAACATGGTCTTCTACTCTGTCTGACAAAAGGCCCTTCCCTACTGCTTCCCTTAGGGGCCTTGCAGCTCAACACTTCATATGTGAAACACCAAACACCAGAAACAACAACAACAACATACCAGTGTCTAGTAGTCCTCCTAGATCTGTGGAAAACAAAAAACTAACAGTAAGGCACTTCACGTCAATGTAAATCATTCTGCTAGGCGCTTCTTACTAATCATTACAACATAATAGATGACCAGCCTAATGTGTCTAATGTATTCTGGGTAAAACAGGCACGACTGTAATCATTGCATAGTTCCACAGAATACAGTTGTGTAATGTACAGTAGATAGTTATTATCAAAGGCATATTTGAGTGCTTTGCTACAGTTGTTAAACAGTAGAAATATACATTAACAGTACAGCTTATAGTTATAACTACAATCAATCATTTGAAAACCCTAAATATAATTGTTAGTAAATATAAAAACATTGGTTACCAACTAAACCATTTTCAATTTATGGACGTCATTCCAGTGTTTAAACAATTTCATACATTTACAAAAAAAAATCCCACAGCAGTTTCCTTATATTCCTGGCAATATAAACATTCACATAATTGAAAAAAATGTCCTGAATATCTCTTAAACACGAAATGGATGCAAATCCTAATAAGTGTACAACAAATCAATCATAATTTAGGAAATGGACAAGTTAAAAACCAAATTTATTTTTCTTCCTAGGATATACACTTCTTAGTGAGTATTTGCTGCAATACATTTTAATCTTATTATCATTCATTTCTTCATCAAGCAAAATGTGCCTGTATTGAAATCAATGTTGCATTTCTACCAATATTGGTAGACTGACATTATGTTCTGTGCTATATGTGAAACGTTTACAAATCTTCTGACTAAGACATTATCTCATTCAAGTTCAATCTAAGACGATAGTAAAGCACAAAAGTAATCAAAATAATGTATTATCGCTTCTGTTATATTGCGCTGAATAGACATGCTATAAAGCAAGTAGTGTGACTGTGTAACACACCAACAATATATTTAACCACCATTTTTAGCTTATCAATCATAGTCTGCCCTATACCAGGATGACTATACACAGGTACAATGGCTTGTGAAAGTATTCACCCCCTTGGCATTTTTCCTATTCCTAGAATTTAAATGGATTTTTTTAGGGGTTTTATTTCATTTGATTTACACAACATGCCTACCACTTTGAAGATGCAAAATATTTTTTCTAGTGAAACAAACAAGAAATTAGACAAAAAAACAGAAAACTTGAGCGTGCATAACTATTCACCCCCCCAAAGTCAATACTTTGTAGAGCCACCTTTTGCAGCAATTACAGCTGCAAGTCTCTTGGGGTATGTCTCTATAAGCTTGGCACATCTAGCCACTGGGATTTTTGCCCATTCTTCAAGGCAAAACTGCTCCAGGTCCTTCAAGTTGGATGGGTTCCGCTGGTGTACAGCAATCTTTAAGTCATACCACAGATTATCAATTGGATTGAGGTCTGGGCTTTGACTAGGCCATTCCAAGACATTTAAATGTTTCCCCTTAAACCACTCAAGTGTTGCTTTAGCAGTATGCTTAGGGTCATTGTCCTGATGGAAGGTGAACCTCCGTCCCAGTCTCAAATCTCTGGAAGACTGAAACAGGTTTCCCTCAAGAATTTCCCTGTATTCATCCATCATTCCTTCAATTCTGACCAGTTTCCCAGTCCCTAACGATAAAAAACATCCCCACAGTGAAGCATGGTAGTGGCCGCATCATGCTGATGGTGTTCTCGGGATGATGAAATGTGTTGGGTTTGCGCCAGACATAGCGTTTTCCTTGATGGCCTTATTTTTTTCTTTAAGCAATGGCTTTTTTCTGGCCACTCTTCCGTAAAGCCCAGCTCTGTGGAGTGTACGGCTGGTCCTATGGACAGATACTCCAATCTCCGCTGTGGAGCTTTGCAGCTCCTTCAGGGTTATCTTTGGTCACTTTGTTGCCTCTCTGATTAATGCCCTCCTTGCCTGGGCCATGAGTTTTGGTGGGCGGCCCTCTCTTGGCAGGTTTGTTATGGTGCCATATTCTTTCCATTTTTTTATAATGGATTTAATGGTGCTCTGTGGGATGTTCAAAGTTTCGGATATTTTTTATAACCCAACCCTGATCTGTACCTCTCCACTACTTTGTCCCTGACCTGTTTGGAGAGCTCCTTGGTCTTCATGGTGCCGCTTGCTTGGTGGTGCCCCTTGCTTAGTGGTGTTGCAGACTCTGGGGCCTTTCAGAACAGGTATATATATATACTGAGATCATGTGACACTTAGATTGCACCCAGGTGGACTTTATTTAACTAATTATGTGACTTCTGAAGGTAATTGGTTGCACCAGATCTTATTTAGGGGCTTCACCAATTTGGACTATTTTGTGTATGTCCATTACATGAAATCCAAATAAAAATCCATTTAAATTACCGGTTGTAATGCAACAAAATAGGAAAAACACCAAGGGGGATGAATACCTTTGGTGAGATATCACTCCCTGACTCATTGTCATCAAAGTATTTATAAAATCAGACCATGATCTATTAAAACAAACTATTAAAAAGTAATTTAAACTCAATACATAAGAGAAACTGAACTAAATTCAGTTTGATGTCTTTCAGAACCCAATGATACCATATAATAAAAAATTAAAATAAAAAATAGCTATGAAAAATGTAATATGTGTAAACACCTGAAAACAAACTAACAACTAACTAACTAACCAACCAGCAGCTGGCTGAAGTTATCTACTGAAGGGAGTTGTCTGAGGAGGCCTCAACACAACATAGAACAGGTTGGAGGGATGGAGATAAAGATGCAGGTGGGGGGAGTGGCAGCAGTGAGTGCTAACAGCTCTGGTCGTTCTCTTCCATGCTTATGCTGCCTGAGCAGCTGCTGTCCTTAGAGGCCCCGGGCGAGACAGAGGAGAGCAGGGGGTCTCCCCCTCCCACCGGGGACAAGATGTCGGCCATCAGGATGTCACTGAGCTTCAAGGCCCCCTTAGTATGACCGCCGTAATGCCTCTGGTCGCCTGAGACACCCCTGTGGCCCTCGGTGTAGGGAGATGCTCCATCGTTGAGCTCCAAGGTGGTGTACTGAACCTGGTCTGGAGTGCAGGCTGGGTGGTGTTGGTGTTGGGGGTGGATTGGGTACAGATCTTGGTGGCAGTCTCCCAGGGCTGGCTCCTGCTTGATGCCTCGGGCTGAGCGCTCCGCTGAGCAGAGGGCAGATGAGGCTGTGGTCAGACCATGGGCACGAGCTTGCATCTCCAACTCCTGAACCCCATCAAGGGAGGGAGAAAGAGAAAAGAGAAAGGAAAGCGAGAGAGTGTTATCAACATTGTCTGTCTGTATGCTGCATATCTGATCCCATCCAGAATATAGAAGAGCCTCATCTCAATTCAAACCTACTTTGATTGGCTAATACAGTGTGTGACATTTTGAAGGCATGGCTAGTAGCTCCTTTTCTCTCCCAGTGCGCCACGGCCTACAGTGCTGTACCTGTATCCGCAGCATCAGGTGTCTATTGGCGTGCTCCAGCTTCTTCTGTCTGTTCTCCAGCTCCTTGGCCCTCTGCTGCTCCCTCTGTAGCTTCCTGATGTAGTCCACCGACGCCTTGAGAATGGTGCCTTTGTTCCAACGCATATCCCTGAGGACCAGAAAGGGGCACGGTAGGCCAGCAAGATTTTATCAGCCGGAACTGTTAGCATTCTAGAGTCCACTGACAACGTTCTAACTCACACTATTCTCAAGGGTATGGATGCATTGGAAATAAACTGAGGCATTGATCTATAATTATCGTCAACTCTAACCTAGGGTGAATGTCTGACCCATGATATATACAGTGGGGTCCAGAATTATTGGATCCTTTGATAAAGTTGAGCAAAAAGACTGTATAACATAAATAATACAAATACTGAGCTAATTGTATGTTAAAAAATAAATATATTTTATACTAATACAATTGCTCAGAGAAAGAGATTTCATTTAACAAAAAACGCTAAAAGATAGGGGTTAAAATGTTTGGATCCCCTGTTTTTAATACTCCAGTACCCTTCCCTTTGCGAGGATAACGACACTGAGCCTTTTTCTAAAATGTTTTATGAGATTGGAGAACACTTTGGGAGGGATCTTAGACCATTCCTCCATACAGAATCTTTCCAGGTCCTCAAAGGCCAAACCCACCATTGGTGTTCGTTGCCAAAGACCTCTATTTTCATGTCATCTGACCATAGCACCACCTGGAGTTTGCTAAACGGCATTGGCACTTGGATTGGACCAGTGCTATGGTCAGATGACCATTTTTGGCCATGCACACCAGCGATGGGTTTGGCCTTCGAAAGAACAATGCATATGCAGTAAAATACCTCATCCCTACTGTAAAATATGGTGGTGGATCTTTGATGTTATGGGGCTATTTTGCTTCCACTGGTCCTAGGGCCCTTGTTAAGGTCAACGGCATTATGAACTTGACCAAGTACCAGGATATTTTAGCCCAAAACCTGGTTGCCTCTGCCAGGAGGCTGAAACTTTGCCGCAAGTGAATATTCCAGCAAGACAATATCCACAAATAAATGGTTAATTGACAACAAAATCAACATTTTGCAATGGCATAACCATATTGAAAACCTGTGGTTTAAATTGAAGAGGGCAGTCCATTAGCGCAGACAAATTATACAAGGATATGGAAAGATTCTGTACGGAGGAATGGTCTAAGATCCCTCCTAGTGTGTTCCCCAATCTAATAAAACATTTTAGAAAAAGGCTCAGTGTCGTTACAATAATTTTGACCCATATCATTTTGAGATTTGTTTTTATTACTTGTTACACAACATCTCTTCCTTTGAGCAATTGTATTAGTATAAAATAATATATAATTGTTCAAATTTTTGTATTATTGATTTTATAAAGTTTTTTTTGCTCATCTTTATCAAGGGATCCAATAATTCCAGACTGCGCTGTATCTGATAGAAAGACTTAAAATCTGCGTCAACATACGCAACTTACGGATCATTTGATTTTGGAATCATTGTCCCCAATTCTTTGATCCGGTCGTTGATGTTAAACCTCCGTCTTCTCTCAACTACAGCAAATAGGGCCAAGATGAGAACAATAAGAAACAATCAATCATGCAAAATGTAATAAAGAACAGGTAATATCACAGCATATCTAAACAACCCACATCATATTACTAGATAGCTGATAATTACAGTATAACAAAACTCACTCAAATTATGGTTATCCTTCTTCTGTCTTTCCTTTGCCATTGCCCTGACCTCTGCTTCTGAAATAAAGCAGTTAGCATTAGGTATGGACAATGACTCATAAAAACTACAGATGTAGGATCTTAATTTGATAACCCTGTTGCAGGAGAACATACTTGCAATGCAGGAAATGTAAAACGTGTAGTGTATTTGAGGTTTAAAATGTGTAATTTCCACTGTGACATTTCAGATTTGATTTTCCCTTATGAAAAATGTATCAACCCCTACAAAATTGTACATTAATTATAATCCACATAGTAATTCACATTTCCTGCAGTTGCTGCAGGATTATTTTCAAACTGGATCAATTTAAGATCCTACATCTGAAAGACAATGGCAAACATTGATGTTGACACACAACAAACAGTTATGCCAGAAACATTTAGTTAGTCGGGAAGAAAATAAATGAAACTGTGCTGAGCACATTAAAGGCTAAGCAATATGCACCCGTGTAACCTAACTCAAACTCACAGTTAGCTAAAGTAAATATGAATATGACTATGCAGACGTACCTACAGGAAACCCTTCAGGCCTTGGATAGTTCTCAAACTTGCCACACGATCCAGACTTGTCCAGCATGTGCATGATGGCCGGAGATTGGGAAACTATTTGGCACATAAAATGTTCATTGCATTTCTCCTTATTTTGAATTACAAAATAACAAAGTTTACAATAATCAAAAACCATATCAATGCAAAGCACATGCATACACATTTCCCTGACCCTTTTACACATATTGCTCAGTCACAAAGGTCTGTAGAGTAATTGGTAACACCATGTTTGAATCTTTTCCATGTAATGGGGTCATGCTCACCTGAGTATTCCCTTTTGATGTTGGGCAGGTTGGCAGGGCAGGAGTTGATGGCCAGGCCTGGAGGGGGCATGCCCTGGTTACCATAAATGTCCAAGAGGTTAGTGTTGACAGCGATCTGATGAGACAAGATAACATTTCATTTTTTTCATTTAATTTACTTACAGTTAGTGAGTGCATACATTTTCATACTGGCCCCCCGTGGGAATCGAACCCACAACCCTGGCGTTGCAAGCGCCATGCTCTATCAACTGAGCTACACGGGGCCACAGACAATAGTAACGTTAGCAGGGTAAAATATACCAGGTGGTGCTTAAACATTAGTAGTTAACCCTTAAAAATGTGTTTACACAATGATCTGTAAGCAAACACTCTGCTGTACTTGTAGACACATCTACTATGAAAAGGCTATCTGGGTTTTCTACAGGCAGGTAAGAAAACCCTGATGTTTTATTGTCACATAGGCCTACATCGGATAGGCGCAGTAAGATGTGTTGTTCTACAGGGTCAGCCATAGTAGTATGGCGCCCCTGGAGCAAATTAGGGTTAAGTGCCTTGCTCAAGGGCACATAGACAGATTTCCCCCTTGTCGGCTCAGGTATTCGAACCAGCAGCCTTTCGGTTACTGGCCTAACGCAAGCAGACAGTAAATTAAGACAATCATACCGTATTGGCCATCTGAAGCCCTGGGTCCATTAATCCAAGGATATCATCGTTATAACTCGATTCCAGACTAATTATGTCATCAATGACATCATCCATCTACAATAAAAAAAACTAAAATTGAATTCGAGATAACATATTTTCTAACAGACAGTGATTCAATTAAGGGTTAATCAACAGACAATACAATTTCCTTCTAAATTAATATGTATTATCCAACTCCATGGTGTTACTACCATTCATTACTCAAATACACATTGCTATGAAGCAGAAGTAATGGAAAATTGGCATTTATCATGGTTTTAAAAGCACACTGAATTCACACACACTGCATTGTAGCTCGGCATCTATGGCCATGTTGCATGTTGTGTTACCTCTTTCTCACAGTTGACGTTGAGGGTGAGTAAGGCCATGGGGCTGTTGGGGGCACTGTTGCCCGGCCCCGGAGGCATGCCCCTGTGGTCAGAGGACTGGTTGGGGCAGGGCAGGGAGCCAAGCTTGCCCAGGTAGCGCTTCACCTGCTGCTGCTGGGCCTGCTGGATGTGGTACTTGGTGGGGTTCTCCAGATGAGTCTGCACCTGGAGGAGGGAGGGAGGGATGGTGTGAAGGAGGGAGAGTTAAGAGAGGAGAGGGAGAGACATAAGTGAGAAAGTCAGAATCCTCAAACGCTGATATGATGGGTTGATGATCGTTGGTCATGTTGCAATTGTGCTATGCACTCAAGAAAAGAGCTCTCATATCTCACTGAATAAACAAGAAACAGCCTTGAAAATGTTTCCATACATTTATAACAATGATAATAAAGAGATAGCATTAGTAAAAAGAGTAAAGAAACCAAATGGCATTAGCATTGAACTTGGTTACTGATTAATATGAAAATAAAATAAATGTCAGCTGAACTAGTGATACAGTACTTGACTTGACCAGAGAAAGTCAAGTATGGGTTGAAATGTTATAAATTATCAATATTACTAGTAAATCCCAAAGCAGTAAGCAGTAAGCAGTAAGCAGACATTTACTTTCTTTTCATGTATATTTGTTTCTGTGCTATCTCTTGATAGTTAAATATCCCTAGATATAAATACATGTATTCACAATCCATGTCACACGTTCCATCTGAATAAATGTTATGTTTATCTTACCATACCCCAAAAGAAAAGGGGGGAAAATAAAATGTATTTCAATCAGCATAATACTGGACCTACCTGATAATGGTGGTATTCAAGCATCTCCAACATATTGCACAATTTATATTCCAACTCCAAAAGAGAGATGCTTAAAACCTAATTATATTCCCTCTGAAAGTCTATGCAGGACCAGAGAGGCTGTCTTCCTCTGTCATGCGCTGCTTTCAACACTGATAATATTGGGAGGAACACCTCTAGCTCAGCTTATAAAAGGCGGAAAAAAGTAATTAGCTACGCATGTTAACAAGTCTAAGTGAGACACGATGAACCTTTTAAAGGTTGTGATGATTTATGTAAAATATGAATTTATGCCTTTATGGTGCTAGTTTGACGTCAGAGTGGGAGTCTTACAAAGAGGCTCTTTTTACAGCCTAGGCCAGGTCACCCTGTCTACTGACACTTGGCCCAGGCCAGATAACTTCTCATCTCCTCGTTAACCCCATGCATAGCTGTTGCACACTGGCTGGTTCCTCTGCTCTTTTTGGATGATAGGAACACTGAGCTAAAACTATTCTTGTAAACTACAGGCTTCACAATATAGTAAAATATATACTGTATTTTTTTGTTTGTCTAAACATCTTAATTGAAAAAAAAAAAAAAAAAAAGTGATTACGTTGCTGAAGGGAGGTCTACTTTATTAATTGTTTACTCAAGCCTGAGAGACAGCAGATTGTAATAAAATGTCTATGTTTCTAAACATGAGCCTTCAGCTACCTGTAACATTATCTCTAATATGAAGTTACTCCTGAATCATAACAGATACCCATGGACAGTACATCACTGCATTCAAGGGTTCCAACAATAGCAAAGATGACCAACTGATAAATTAGCAATTATAAACCAGTAATGAAAACAAAGATGTCTTGTTAAGACATTTGCTTGGATATACACTACCAGTCAAAAGTTTGGACACACCTACTCATTCAAGGGTTTTTGTTTATTTTTACTGTTTTTTGCATTGTAGAATAATAGTGAAGACATCAAAACTATGAAATAACACATATGGAATCATGTAGTAACCATAAAAGTGTTAAACAAATCAAAATATATTTTATATTTGAGATTCTTCAAATAGACACCCTTTGCCTTGATGACAGCTTTGCACACTCTTGGCATTCTCTCAGCCAGCTTCATGAGATAGTCACCTGGAATGCATTTCAATTAACAGGTGTGCCTTTTTAAAAGTTAATTTGTGGAATTTCTTTCCTTCTTAATGCATTTGAGCCAATCAGTTGTGTTGTGACAAGGTAGGGGTGGTATTCAGAAGATAGCCCTATTTGGAAAAAGACCAAGTCCATATTATGGCAAGAACAACTCAAATAAGCAAAGAGAAACAACAGTCCATCATTACTTTAAGACATGAAGGTCAGTCAATACGGAAACTTTCAAGAACTTTTAAAGTTTATTCAAGTGCAGTCTCAAAAACCATCAAGCGCTATGATGAAACTGGCTCTCATGAGGACCGCCACAGGAATGGAAGACCCAGAGTTACCTCTGCTGCACAGGATAAGTACATTAGAGTTACCAGCCTCAGAAACTGCAGCCCAAATAAATGCTTCACAGAGTTCAAGTAACAGACACATCTCAACATCAACTGTTCAGAGGAGACTGTGTGAATCAGGCCTTCATGGTCGAATTGCTGCAAAGAAACCATTACTAAAGGACACCAATAAGAAGAAAATACTTGCTTTGGCCAAGAAACATGAGCAATGGACATTAGACCGGTGGAAATTTGTCCTTTGGTCTGGTGTCCAAATTGGAGATTTTTGGTTCCATGTCTTTGTGAGACGCTGTATGGGTGAACGGATGATCTCCGCATGTGTATTTCCCACCGTAAAGCATGGAGGAGGAGGTGTTATGGAGTGGGGGTGCTTTGCTGGTGACACTGTCTGTGATGTATTTAGAATTCAAGGCACATTTAACCAGCATGGCTACCACAGCATTCTGCAGCGATACGCCATCCCATCTGGTTTGGGCTTAGTGGGACTATCATTTGTTTTTCAACAGGACAATGACCCAACAAACCTCCAGGCTGTGTAAGGGCTATTTTACCAAGAAGGAGAGTGATGGAGTGCTGCATCAGATGACCTGGCCTCCACAATCCCCCGACCTCAACCAAATTGAGATGGTTTGGGATGAGTCGGACCGCAGAGTGAAGGAAAAGCAGCCAACAAGTGCTCAGCATATGCGGGAACTCCTTCAAGACTGTTGGAAAAGCATTCCAGGTGAAGCTGGTTGAGAGAATGCCAAGAGTGTGCAAAGCTGTCATCAAGGCAAAGGGTGGCTATTTGAAGAATCTCAAAAATTAAATATCTTTTGATTTGTTTAACACTTTCTTTGTTACTACATGATTCAATATGTGTTATTTCATAGTTTTGATGTCTTCACTATTATTCTACAATGTAAAATGAAGAAAAACCCTGGAATGAGTAGGGGTGTCCAAACTTTTGACTGGTACTGTAATTCAGAGTTTAAAATATGTTGTACTGAAGCATGTGTGTATCCATCACGTGTAGAAATTGACTGTAGCCAAGCCTTGCCAAGCTCTGGAGAAAGACAGTCTGTCTTACCATCCAAAGTCCAAATGTTCAAATCTGTAACTATCTAATATTTCCTTTTCAAGCCCTTTACAAGAATCCTGGGTTACAAAAACCATGACAAAACATGGGGTAAATGTGAAAGGCAATCAAATGTAAGTTCAATTCAGATACAGGGTTCAAACAGTCTACCCTATGACCTGAACAAAAATCACTGGTAGAATAACTTCAAATTAAACCAAATACTGTTAGACAGCATTTACAGCTGTACTCTTATCCACCAAAAAACACAGGCAACAGAATATATAAACTACTTTATAGAATGACATTTGAATTCACTGGTGTGGTGGTTAATGAGCTCAGGATAACCAAATGTGTGGATGACAGAGTCTGGTTATTTGGAAAGGCTTGAGGCAGATGGAGCTCCTCACAACCCCATTCACCTCCTGAACTCTTGGCTCAACAACACAGCAACAGAACCAGACTGTTCCTCCCCCGGGCCCTTATTGGCTGGGGTAATTTAACCTTGCAAATAGTATCTACAGTAACAACTGACACCACACTAGCATCAATAGAGAATATCGTACACTGTTCTACTATAACATGGTAATAAGCATTTACTGGTAGGCCTATTTGTTTTATGCAACAAAAACAAAAAAAAGGTAATTCAATGGAAGTGCAATGCTCAATGTAAATTGGCATTCCCTATTTCTAGTAATTCCCAAAGGAATGTATCCTAACTGGCAGGTCTATTAATAGCGCTCTGAGGTATTTTGGGAATTCCCCTGGGGAGAGTCGAAAGTTATTTCAGGCATGTTAACATGTGATAACTGAAGGGGTCAAAGTTGAGAATGTATCCTGACCAATTAAAACGTCAGTCACCCTCTGGGCCAGCCTTAAATGTCCTTTAAATGCACTGTTCGTCAACAATAAGAGGTGGAGGAATTGTGCAGAATTAGATGCATCCAAAATAAATCAAACCATCAAATAATATTTTCTAAATGTTAGAGAGGTGGGAGCAATCCCTGATTTGTATCTAAATGGCACACCTGGCACACCAAATAATCATCCAACAATCCTAGACACGAAATTACAGGTGACTTTGGCCTCTGAGCTGTAATTGAGGAGTAAGTACTAGTTGCACTGTTTTTGTACATGTGTGTTTGATTATAAAAAAATAATTAGCATGTATGTTTTCTTAGAAAGCGCAATAACAAGCACATGCTGAACAATCTGATAAGTCTCTTAACGTCTTGACATGCAATTAACACTATTATTACTACTAATATGACGGCCACATGCACAACCTCCAACAGTAACAATACATTTCATCATTATACATTTACATTTTAGTCATTTAGCAGACGCTCTTATCCAGAGCGACTTACATTATTGAGTGCATACATAATTTTTTTTATTTTTCACACTGGCCCCCCCTGGGAATCAAACCCACAACCCTGGCGTTGCAAACGCCATCCTCTACCAACTGAGCTAGATCCCTGCCAGCCATTCCCTCCCTTACCCTGGACGACGCTGTGCCAATTGTGCGCCGCCCCATGGGTCTCCCGGTCACGGCCGGCTACGACAGTGCCTGGATTCGAACCAGGATCTCTAGTGGCACAGCTAGCACTGCGATGCAGTGCCTTAGACCACTGCGCCACTCGGGAGACAATTATACAGTGCAGTAGACAGGCAAATGTTGCTGCAAATCTGACATATGGAAAACACAAGTTAGAATCCATTGACACTATGTTTTCTGTATATTTCAGAGTTCTACATCTTACGCTAATCTTTCTACATTCTCACTCCAGTCCTACATCTGTTCCCACCAGGGAATACCAAGGCATACTTCCAGCTAATCTGACTCAGTATTTTTTTGACCTGGATAGTGCTTTTGTTATGATGAATTAGTTTGAATCGATAGCGACATCTATTTACCAGGGTGTTATTGAGACAATGGAACAAGATCAGCGTTTTATTTTATGTATTTTTTTTACATTGATTGATTGACATTTAAATTGAAATAATAACATGGATTATAACACTGGATTACCTCAATATAGTGAGCCAAGAAGCAGGTAAAAAATCGACACTACTTGTACATTACTTAAAATATGCATTAGAATTGGCCAGAATACAGAATGCAGGCTTTGTCAATTTGATTTCACTCAATACAGATTTAACTTTACGCCTCTAGTAACTGAACTAGAAGTTCTTTCAAACTAGAAGTTCTTTGCCTTACGGTTCTCATTTGGTGTTTATAACTTCCATGAGAGAAACACTAGTAACTAGTGTGAAGTCAGAAGGTACATGGCTTGAATTTTGTCTTAGATCAAACTTGATTAACGGGACATTACTAGAATAAAAGAAACAATAAATAATATCCTCCAAAATAAGACAGGCCTCTGTTCAACACAGTCCTGAGGCAACAAGCAACTCCTCCTCGATAAAGTAAATTACAATTTTTTTAGCTAGGTTTTTTAGCCCATAGATTTTGTTGTAATGTTTGCAAGA